TTTTTGTACCAAAAGGGATACAAAACTTGTTAACGATACCCAACAGTCGATTGTTGTTGTCGTTGAGCCCCTTCTTGTTGCTCCTTGTACTGCTTGCCGGATCAGTCTTCTCCCAAGACCCCTCCGAATTGAGCGCAAATCAGCTGACCCTTCCGGATTGAGCGCAACTTATCATTAACGTGCTTAAATGCTCAAATAACCCTACAGTACAAGCCTCAAAAACGGGCTACAAAACTGATCGTATTGATCCTGACTGATATAAATGCCTGTAACAACAATATATCTATAAACAACAAACGGGAGGGTCGGATCACATCTTGTCTGGGGGATGGTTTCTACTGATTTTTTTTTAACTTTTTTTTTACAGTTTTTGGTTTTTTCGGTTATTTTTTTATGTTTTTTGTTTTTCTTGGGTACTATACTACTTTTTGTTTGAATTTATATATATCTTTAAGTGTTTTTGGTCACGGACCATTCAGGAAATGACGGGACCGCGAAACCCCCCACCCTTCCTGGTTCGTGAATTTTCGGTCTTAACTAGGTTAAAAAACTATTGACGGTAATCCGGAAGGCTTCCGCGTTCCGAACTACCCTTCCGCCCCGGCGGTTTAGGCCTATTAAGGGCGTTAATGTGAGCATCCGCTCGGCGCGGAGTGCTCGTTAACGGTTCTGCCGGTCATGATGTTAAAAAAGAATAACACCCAGGAGCGCCATAAAAACATGTATGTAACATTCGCCCGGAAGATACATATCGACGGAAAATAAAACTAAGTCCTAAGACGACTGGCTAACGTCTAAACAGAGCTTTATATGCTTTTCACCGTCTCTACCAAGCCAGTACTTTCGGTGGTCTTTTCCAACATCGGGTCGACAAAAACGTTACTGCTTTCGGCTTCGGTCAAAACACTCAAATTAACGTAATTACATGCAGAAATAGTGAGCTCATGGCTGGTTCTCAGTATCCCCAGACCACGAGGTCACTCCTAAAAACAGGGCTACTACTTATTATATTACTATTGTTTTTGTTCAGTAGATAAAAATCATCATCTCCATCGAAGATGGATCAACCCCTTCCCCCAACTCCTAGCTTCTCATCCTTATCAAAATGAATCCAGTTGTTAATTAAATTCAATTCAGGACATGACAAGAAGCTAAAAGTCTATATAAAAGGATAAAAGTCTGAGTTCCGAAACCCTTCCGGATTCTTGAATCCACTGAATCAAGCTCGTTAATCTTGATTTCTTCGTAATCCGGAAGGCTATCTTCCACCCTTCACCGTTGTCTGCAACGGCCTTGCAACTATTGTAGCGACACAATAGTTGCAACTCAGAACGTCCTTCTGTTTTTCTCTGCTGTTTTTCTATCACAATCTTCGTTGTTTTTGTCAGTGCGACTATCGTTGTTCTGTTGCTTTTTAGCTTTTTCTGCCAAAATGGCCGTTTCTGACGTTTCTCAGAAATGTTACGTAATCACTTCGAAAATTTAAAAATTAGCAATTTCCGAAGCCCTCAACCTTCACGTTTTGTTCAATCGTTCCAATAACGTTCTTAATCCTTAAAAATCACTAATCCGGAAGGCTCGCTGCTAAAAATTCGAATTCTGCAGAGATTGCATTTTGGCACATTCTGGTCGAATGTCACACTTATTCCTTTCCGGATGGACACGTCGTCCCAACACCCTTCTTGGTTCTCAGGAACTGCTTTGTTACGATTGTCACTGCACATTCGTTACAGCTCAGAATGGTTGTGGGTCACAACAATCTTCTTATCGTTCGTATATCCCGGCTGACTCTTCTCTGTCTAATTTTTACGTTTTTCTCGTTGAGAATACTGTCCATGTTTCTACCGCCGTTTCAATTGGTGTGAAATCTCAAGGTCGTGACGTGTCCTCATTTTAAAACGAATTTTTAAAAGCTAACTTGAAACTCCAAATCAACCTTTTCGAGTTCGTCAAAATGAACGATTAAGACCTCTAGTTTGTTAAACTCAATCTTCCCTCTCCGATGTTACAAAAAAATTTCGAATTCGAACTTGAATTTTGACACATTTTGGTCGAATGTTACGTTTTTCAGAGCCATGTCCCGGTTTAGGGAGTTAAATAGTAGTAGTAGTAGTAATAATATGAATTCTGTGGTTCACGCAAGGGGTTTGGACCCCGTCAGTTTCTCGTTTCATATAACAGTTCTAATTCTGCAATTGTTCATCGTACAATCGCTCGCTATTTTTCAAGTGCTCTTGTCGCTCTCATTGTATTATTCGAATTTCGACCAGAAGATTTTTAGAAGTCGTTGTTTCAAGCCAATCCCTTCTCCTAAATCGATTTTTAACACATTCGCATGTCCTCAGGTTTGGTACGTGAAGTTCTGTTTGCATTTGGCTTTCCTTGGACGACTCAGCTGAAACAAATTAGCGCGCGAGAACTCTGTGTAATATGGTATGTCTAAGTTACATGCCTCATAACGTCCTAAAGTCAATTTTGAAAGCAACATCAAGTTGTTTAGCTGAACATACATTGGCAAAGGAAGAATACCTAAGAAGTTTTTGCTAAAAAGTAAATTTCAAACGTTTTCGCAACTATGTGCATCGTCAGGATTTTTACAATAAACTACTCTAAATGACGATAAAACATCAATTTACAAATGTTATTTACAATAAATCACATACAATTTGGTTCTAAACCATCATGATAAAAAATTAGCCAATCACAGTTGACCTCTAAATTACTATTAAGATTAAAATACTTTTAACCTCTAAATTAATTAAACATTTTAAAATTAATTTGTCTGGAAGTTTCTGAGTCATAATTTCGATTTAGACATGTACGTTTTGAATAAAAAACCAAAAATATTTTGGGACTAAATTTTCAGTGTTAACTCCCTGCTCCTAAACTCATCGCGCGTGTTCAAGCCCGGTTTCTCTTTCCTGATATGTATTGCCTCTAGTGTTAGCAATTTTGTTTGGTTGTTTGACCTATCTATAATTTCCCAACTAAGATCTGCGCTATTTCCCTCAAGTTGGCATTGCTGAAGGTGGAGGCCTACCGGTGAGTCTGCTTTCTTATGTTCCTCGATTCTAGTGGTCAAATGTCGAACAGTTTGTCCGAGATAGGTGGAAGTGCATCCACTACATGACAGTTTATAAACCACTCTTGACTTGAGGTCATTAGAAAATGCTGACTTCAGTGATGGTAAACATGATTGTAGTTTTCTTGTGGTGAAAACCACTTAAACGTTCGTTAGTTTTCGTAACCTGTTAGCAAAATATTGGCTCTGGTTACCTCCATATTGCACCATCAGCATTGGGGGCTTCTCATCCTTTGGCGATTGAACTGACAAACCCCTGTCACTATCCAGGGGCTTGCCTTTACCCTCGATGATCTTGCACAAGGCGTCTGAAGCCACTTTTGCGGACCAATTTTCAGGGTACTGATTTGTCAGCCATTGTGCCCTATTAGTTTCCATAGCCTTATCAAATTGCTCCCAGCTAGATGTACTCCTAAAAACCCTGTGTACAGTGCCTTGGATAACACTACGCTTATACTGAGTTGGGGCGCAGCTTCTATAGTTCAGTATAGTCCCTGTATCTGTTGGTTTTTGATACCAACTGCAAGTTACACGCCTATCCTGCGATACATTTATGTTCAAATCCAGGAACAGCAAATTCCCCTCCGAATTAGTTTTCTCTAGAGTGAACTGCAAATTTGGATGAAGAAAATTGGCGGCATCGAGAAGACAACTCGGCTCCCCTCTGACTGTTCTAACAATGTCATCCACATACCTGAGGAACAATTTCACCTGGGGAGTATCCTTCTCCTTGTTCTTAGCTCGGCAGCCGCTTTCACAGTACCAGACTATCTCGGTTATTGTAGCGTATACGTCATCGGATATTTTTCCGCATTTTAGATGATACCAGTTTCGGCAACTCTCGCATTCAACCCCTTTGATCTATATGTGACTTTCCTGCTGCAACATGGGCACAAGCCGTTTTTGTCATTAATTTGCTGTACCCCCGTTACCACCGGTATTTGTTGTCGTAGAGCAAATTCGTATTCTTTCAGCCATAAGTTTGCCAGAATTTGAGCGAGGGACGCGCCCATTGCTAAACCATCAACTTGTACATACCATGAATCATTACACTTGAAATATACTTTGCTGACCGCCATATTCAAAAGCCTTTTCATGGTTGCTCTTTGAATTTCCAGAGTCATAATTTTGGAAAATTTATAAAAAGAAAAATTCAAGACTCTGGAAACTTTTTTTCTATTTTTCCCATACAAAGAAAAATTCAAGTTTTCTTTGTATGGGACATTATTAACGCAAATCCATTTTACTGCTCTTCGCTGAATAGTCTCTAAATCGGGCATCACGTACTTATTTAAACCAAAACACGGACTTGCGTAAAGAATCACGGGGTTTATCATGGATTTGAATAAGTTCAGTTTCGCTACTCTGTTTAAATTCGATATGTTTCTTTTGATCGCGAAAAAAGTTTCATTTGCTTTTAAGCCTGCTTTGTCAATGTGTAGATTACAGTTGTTTAAATTTGGTTGGTCAAAAAGTTTTAGAGCATTTTTGTTCATGTTTCTCATTTTTTCAGATCTTTGATCGTTTTGTAAATTTTGTTAAAAATTTTTATGTGCAAAATGTGCAAAAACGTTTGAATTATCCGTTTGAATTAACCTTCTTGTATACCTTAAATGTGTAAAAACTCTTTTGTTAAACATGCAAAATTAATACGTTGAGAAAGCTTAAGCATGGCTAGATAGTGAAGCCCCCATTTAAATTTATAATAGATTATACTGTGTACTCGTAGTCGGTCCCAAAAACTAAATTCGCACTTTTCAGCGTTCAAGCTCAGGCAGTAAATTTGTTCCGATATCGGAATGTTTTTAAGGCCTCGGAGTACGAATGACAGCCGAGCGTGAAAACCCTGGAAACTGGTCTTGAAAAACTTAATTTTCATCCGAGAAAGCTGTAAACTTTTTTCTACTCTTTCAGATGCGGTTCAAATGTGAATGTGGAAAATTAACCTTATTTATTAGAACGTCATGTCATTTACAGTGTACATAATCAAAGTTATCTTCTTGGGATCATTCTTCTTTACATGTTCTATTACCTTAACTTTCTATAATAAATGGCTGTTTCAAAATTTCCATTTTCCGTTGACGGTAACCTTCATTCATTTTTTGACCCAGTTTCTAGGTGCAGCCATTATTCGAACACTGATGTCCTGTTGCTGCTCAAAAAGTCCCCCCATAGTTCTTAATTGGACAATGTACATGAAAAGAGTATATCCTGCTGGACTTGCAGCTGCGTTAGACATAGGGCTGAGCAACATGTCCTTGATGTTCATAACAGTGTCACTTTATGTAATGTCAAAGACATCTTGTGTAGTTTTTGTTCTAATTTTTGCGGTTATTTTGCGCTTGGAAAGCCCTAGAGTGACTACGTTAATAGTAGTTTTACTTGTCAGTGGGGGATTATTTCTGTTCACTTACAAATCTACCCAATTCAATTTAGGAGGATTCATTCTTGTTATTAGTGCGTCATTTCTGGGTGGTCTGAGATGGGTATTACTGCAGATGATAACCCAGCGTGAAGATATTGGTCTGAAAAATCCGATAGACACAACATATCACATGGCGCCTGTTATGGCGCTGGGTCTATTGTTACCCGTCTTTCTCATTGAAGGCGTACCAGCAAGTCTTTCATCAGAAATATTCCGCTATGAGTCATATCTTACTCTGGAAACCACCACCGGAAAAGTAGCTCTTGGAGCGCTTCTGGCGTTTTTGTTAACACTTTCTGAGTATATGTTTGTCCATTACACATCTTCATTGACTTTGAGCATCGGAGGAATTTTCAAGGAGTTGCTTACTATGTACTTGGCGTCTGAGATCAACCATGATAAATGGTCAACAATGAATCTTGTAGGAGCAGGTCTGTGCGTTCTGGGAATCCTCAGCCATGTGATGTTCAAAGCAATTTATGCCAAGAATAAGTACGATGTACAAGGTGCGAGTCCTAGGAATCCCCGGATTCGGTCGTCATCAGAAGGAATGGGTGCTTTGTTGAAGAGGGATAGGAAGACGAAACCATCTTGGGAGGCAATTGAACTCTTGAATGGAGACGATAGCGATGCGATAATTTCGTCGAGCGGAGAAGAAGAGACGATATTTCCGAGCGAAGAAATGACGAGAAAGAGCAACGGACGTTATGATACTGATTAAGATTAGATATTGGTGCATTTTATTTTGATTTGCGTTCAAGGTTTATGTTGGAAGCAGAATGACAGAATGAATCAATGAATTGTATTTGTATTCTCTCTTGTTTTGTAATTGTACTTATCTGAAAAAAGTTGCTGAACCAATTCAAACGTGTAGGTACAGTTGGTGATGTAATAAAATTAGTAAAGATTTTCTGAATTTTAATTAGATTTGCTTGCTTGAAAATGTATAACAAAAGGGTGATTAGAAGTTATTTGAATAGCTGTTTTTTCCTTTGTATCTTAGATCAGCATTAATACTTTTTTCCCGTAAACAACTTGTTCACAGGACTCATCCTTGGGACTCATTAATTTCCTGATCTTTGTTGGAAACTGCAACAGACACATTTTGAGCATGTTAGCAATTTAATTATCCGTCCTATTCGAAATTTGCTTTAAAGGTAGATAGTAATTTAACCATTTTTTAAATTTCATTTTCTCTTCTTGTAAAGGGTTAAATAAATTTCGGCCTATATTATATTGGCTTAGTGCCCTGATATGGCGTCGTTTGATGAGAGAAAAAAATTGTACGTGTGTGTATTGAATGGGATGGGGCTTTAACAACTTCTTAATTAGTTTCTGTGTCTTTTTTCCTTTTTTTCTCGATTATATAAGTTTGGCCTAGATTAAATCGGCTTATTGGCCTCGTATTGCGTCGTTCGATGAGCAAAAAAAAGTTTTTGTGTGCGTGTGTGTTTTGATTGGGTTGGGGCTTCAACAACTTTTTAATTAGTTTTCAGGTCTTTTTTAAACTTAATTTTTTTATCGGTTAAGTAAGTTTTGGCGTCGTTTGTTGAATAGAAAAGTTTCGGTATGCGTGTGTGTATCGAAGGGGATGGGGCTGTGTCAACTTTTAAATTAATTCTTAACTCTTTATTTTTTATTTTCATTTTTTTCTTGGTTTATTAAGGTTCAGCCTATATTATATCGGCTTTTTGGCCTCATATTGCATCGTTTCGGCCTCATAAGAGCAAAAAAAACTTTTGTATGAGTATGTGTATTGAGGTGGTTGGGGCTTCAACCACTTTTTATTAGTTTTCATAAGTCTTTTGTGAAATGTTTTAGTCTGAAAGGGTTTCTGCTCAGGTACTTTGGGCTTTCTTAAATTTGGTTAGTTTTCTTCTGATGCTAAGTTTATCTTCTTTTGTCTTGGTGTTTTTTTTTGAAAACTAGTTTTATTGATTTAGATAGAATTCGGCATTTTTGAATTTTGTTTTCTATTTAGCGGCTGATTTAGCGACTTATAAAAACTAATAAAAAGTTGCTGAAGCCCCATCCACCTCAATACACATATAAACACAAAAAAATTTTCGCTCATCAAACGATGCAATATGAGGCCAATAAGCCGACATATAATTTATTAAGCTTCGCATGTGGTGCGAAGCTCGGCTTCGCCTCTGTGTTAAAAGCATGCAAAAAGCCAAAAAAAGTCTTGATAAAAGTCGTGTAGTATAGTAAAAACGCCAGTGGTTGATGTGAGTTTTGTCGAAAAGGGAAGTAATTTCAAGGATTAAGCCATTTAAAAGCAGCCACAAGATGAATCTTTAAAGAAAGCTTAAATTTATCATAATAAAGAAAAAAGTTTTTTTTTTCAACTTGGGAAGATTACTTGGATCAATTTCAGATTTAGATGGAGGAGGAAGATTTGGAGATAGCGATTAAAGTGTTGGTCGTGGGCAATGGGGGAGTGGGTAAATCGTCTCTCATTCAGAGATACTGCAAAGGCTCTTTCACTTCGGGATACAAGAAGACAATAGGAGTCGACTTCCTGGAAAAGTCACTAGAGTTAGTAATCCTATTAGTTATTCAACATTATCAGTGAACGTTTGCGACAAGCTAAAGTTTACGCTCACGATTAGCAAGCGTTATAAAATTATGAAATTGAAAAGTGTTTTTTTTGGCGTAAAAGATCTCATTCACAAACTTGCGCTGCTAAAGTAGAGCGTTTTTTTTTGCGTTATCGAATGATCTTGCTCAATGTTACGTATTCTCCAAAGGCTCAGAAATCCTAATCTGAACTGGCGTCTTAATCTGAAACCAAATAGAATTTCATTTATTTATTAAAGAAAATGAGTACAACATAGTCTCCAAATTGTTTCATAATCAAATGCTTGTGCTATATCACGTTCAGTTTCGGTTCAATTTCTGTTTTTTTTGGACCGCTCGAGTTCTCTATGGCAATTTACGAGCATGTTTTACGGGTTTATTGATGGCAAATTTTTCTTTTTTTTAGATTTTACTTAATTTTTATATTCTCGAATTTGAAAGCTCCTTTTTCAGTTTTTTAAATGTGTTAGCGAAATGCAGCTTCGCCTCTGCGCTGAAAAAAAAACTAGTAGTTAGGTTGATTGACTATGATATGGTTTTTATTTTTAGAATAGATGGACAGGAGGTGAAGATGATGTTGTGGGACACAGCTGGTCAAGAAGAGTTCGACTCAATCACTAAGTCATACTACAGAGGTATAATTAGTAGCAATAAGTTCGGACAGACAAAATTAATTAAAAAGAGCAATTTATCTAATTTGAAAAAATGTTGCATGGAAAACCTAATTTTTCTGTCCGAATTGCTGTCTCAAGGTCGTCTGTAAAACAAAGTTGCATGCAAAAATCTATCAAAATGTTACGATTGCTCTTTTTAATTAATTTTGTCTGTCCGAACTTTTTGCAGCTCTCTATAGTTTTGTTTACCTTAGACATTAAGGCCACAATGTGATCGATCTCAGATTTATACAATATTTATTCGTTGCTTTGGAAGACGCGCATAATATTCAACGATGGTTATGGCTTGAAAAATACGAAAAAGTGGGTTTTACGAAAAATTTGAACTTTAAATGCCGAGAGGTTGAAAAATGTACTAAATGGTGGCATTGATTGCTAGGAATAAACGACAACAGTTAGGAGCCAACTTGAATCGAATTGGTTGCAATTCTAGGTCATTTTCACCTCCTTCTATGATCATCAAAGCAGATGTATTTAAGCACATGTGTCAGATTTGGTTCCAAAAATTGAACAGCAAGTGTAAAAGAGACAAAAGGATGCTTATTTTTGTTGCATTTTAATCGCAATGGAATTTAATCTCACATGAGTTATCCGTGAAATCAAAATCATTTTGAAATAGGATTATTTCCGGAGAACAGTTTATGGAGCTTCGAGAACATGATCGCTCGAAAGCTTGAATCAGTTGCGTTTTTATGGATAAAACATAAAATTAAATTTCCACGAAATATGTCATCACAACCAAAGAGTTCTCGACTAACCAGCTCTATTCGTAAAATCTCAAAAAGACTAAGCAATAACCAGCATTATCCTAAATATTACCAGCATTATCCGAGAGGGCTATAGTTCTTAGAAGTGACTTACAGTTATAGAGATGATTTTTACGGTACCATCCTAGATACAGAATTGAAACGCGTCTTAAATGTCTTGAAATTTCATCTTTTTTGTAGACTAAATTTGACGAGTTCATTAGTTTTTTTTTTCAGGTGCCCATTGTTGTGTGCTAGCTTTCTCCATAGCAGACAGAGTGTCATTCGAAGCAGTGGACAGGTGGAGAGCTAAGGTAAAGGACACTCAGTTTGATTGGCAGTTTCCAATTATGTAATAGAATCGGAAGAGCATTTGTATTGAATATATAGGTTTGGTGGACTGCGACCCACCTTTTGTCTAATAATACGTGTTTGTTACATGGATTCTTTCTTATTATAGCCCCCAGTAAATTATAGACTCCTCAAATTTAATAATCACTATCGTGGAGGGGGCTTCAATTTTTTGTTACTGAGCCAAGGGGGGGGGGGGTATAATGGGTATTATGTTATTCGATTGTTCTAAACTCAGTTTTTATTGTTTTTTTTTGCAGATTTCCACTACAAATCCTTTTCAAAAGCGTAGAAAACTACATGAGTAGTATGTTGCTTCTCTATTTTCACAGAATGTTGCGACCACTTCGTAGGTTGAGTAAAGTGGTCGGAATCGTAACATCTTTTCGATAGAGGAGGGAGATTTTTAGCAAAAGATTTGTTTTGCAGGTAGTTGATCAGTGCGGAGACAAGATTTGTATGATAATAGTCCAGAATAAAATGGACCTTCTAGAAAATTCTAACGGCCAAGAGGAGACGGCTGACGACGATGCAGCATCCAAATTTGTGTCTCCGTAAGTAGGTTCTTGCAGATAAGCATGTAAGCATCCGTATAGCTACGTTTTGCTGGCAGAAAAATGTCTAGAAGTGAATTGAATCAATAGGTTTTATTGGAAGAGTCATATAGTTTTCGGTCATTTATGGTTTTAAGTTTCTGGACAGTTTTGATTCGGTAGTGATGAATGTTTTGAAGCAATTGCGAGGTACCGGAAATGACTGCCATTCAAAACTGCTTGCAATCAAAAGTATCAGATTCCTTATGTTACAACGACTAGATTCGATATTCGGATCCCGAACGAAGTGATGCTTGGATAGATTTTCTACCGAAAAAAAAAACGAAACACATACCTGATTGCTGGAAATGACAAGATACGACTAGAGTTTCGCATTGTTATGATTAAAGGCATTATTTGTTTTAGTTTGTATAACATTAAAGACATGCAGAAAAAGCTGTTCAGCTTGTCGATATATATCTTCTGAAAATTTTTATCAAAACACTTGTTGCAATGAAAAAATAGTTTTTGTTGTTGTTTTGTTCAGACAAGAGGGCGAGGAGATGGCGAAGAGACTAAAGATGAGACTGCACAGAATATCAGTGAAGAACAACGAAGGAGTTGGCCCAGGTATGAGTCATAAAATATCCTTGATCGTCAATTTTGAATTAAGTTGGAATTTAGTTTTTATGCTATTTAACAACATCCATCTTGTAAGAAAGGGCAGGAGGTTCTCAAAGAGATAATTCAACGAAATAAGCAGATTTTGTGGCAAGTCAGATAGCAGAAAAATATTGATTGGTCTGTCTGGACTACAATGAGTACTTGTTGGTTTAGAGGAGGTGCTGTTATTTAGTATATATCTTACGGGGGGGGGGGCGTTGTTTAGCAGACCCTAATTTTCATGGGCTCATCAGGAAAAGCCATCGCACTGATACGGTTGCCTGTGAGTAACTTCCTTTGGAATTAAAACGGTCAGGTGATTTTAGTATGAATTACTGAACATATTTTTTGTCCACCCAATGAAGCAATTGAGGCAATTAAGTTATTAGCACCTAATACATTAAGGCGTTTAAATGTAACCACAAAGGCTTTATTTTGACACTAATCCTTGGCTTTTTCTGTAATTTCTCAAGAGACCTGCTTCAGTTTGTTTGTTTTAGTGTTTAATTTGTTTTGTTTGTGTTGTAGTGTTTGAGCACCTGTGTGCGAGGTATCTGAGTAATCTGAAGAAGGAGAAGAAAGACATGCAAGAGGTGTCCTCTTCAGGAGCTGCATCCTCCTCCTCCAACATCGGTGAGAATCCATAATTGACGTCTTCTAGAGTTCTGGCAATATTTTATTTAGTAAACGAATCTGAAAGAGTTCACTAACTTTAAACTGCTCATTTTGCTATCGAAACCATTTTATCCATGATTACACAAGCCAAGCGTAGTGTATTATTACGTAGAATTTTTTTCTAGTCTAAGTCGCAAATAAAAGTGCTCAGTTGGTGGCACTTTTGGTATATTTTAATTTAATCATATTTAAGCATAGGCAATTTAAAAGCAATTAGGTCCAATTTATTAGATCCTGTTTGAAAAAACAGGTATTATGAAAATATATGGGATTTATTGTTTTTCGCTGTGTTTTTTGCGAAGCATTGGAAAGTTTTTGCACTTTGCGTAGAAATTCAATTTTTCTCAAAAACTTCTGTAGCGTTTTTAACAAAATGGTACCAATGGACAAACCGGCTGCTCTTCTATGTGTCTGCATATTCCGCTAGTCTCTTTTCATTTTAACCCATGTTTTCCATTTTCTCAAAAATTCAATGCACAAATCTGAGATGAAGGTTTCAATCAAAAGAACAAATTTTGTGAATCTTTCGTACGCAAGCGGCTGTGCTCGGCGTTTTGAAAAAAATTGCCTTCGAATTAGTCCAATTTTTGACAATTTGCCTGTTGTTTCAGGAAACCACTGAATTAGATTTTCCCTTCGTAAACTTTCACTTTTTTTTTTTTAGAAAAAGAGTGTGGAATTCGGAAAAATCCTTTTTTTTTTTTGAAATTTTTACAATTTTTTAGAAATTTAAACACTTCTCGAAAACACTACTCTAAATCTGATAGTAAGGGTTCAGTCTAAAATTTATGACTAGAAATTTCCGCTGCATAAGAGGCTGTTCCCTTGCTTATGTAGAGAAAAATTTATGGATTTAGGAAAAGTCAATTTTTTGATAATTTTTTTTGGAATCTTTTTCACTTTTTTTACACTGCGATCAGCTTAGTGTGTTATTACGGACATTCTTTTTTCTAACCAAAAGTGTTCACTTATTTGGAAATTTTTTTGCTGCATTAGAAATTTTAATTGAAATTGCAGACAAAAGTGTTCACTTATTTGGAAATTTTACTGCTGCATTAGAAATTGTAATTGAAATTGCAGACAAAAGTGTTCACTTATTTGGAAGTTTCACTGTAGCATTGGAAATTGCAGACTCTTAATCTCTATGTTGAAGATTCGAATCTAAGAGATAGACGTATGTTTGCTAATTCGATGATTTTTTCTAATTTTATCGTGTTCTTTTTGTCGTGTTCTGCTTTTTGCCGTGGTCTGCTTTTTGTCGTGGTCTGCTTTTTGTCGTGTTCTCGCTAGTGTTTCCATAGCGAAGCTTCACCTCCGTGTCGAACACTACCCAGCCAACTTGATTATAACTCGATTGAAAGATTGAAGAGTAGTTTTCTCCTTTAAAAAAACTGCTAAGCTCCTAATTAAGCGTAAAGTCCATCTTTTTGAAATTTTGAAAATTACGCATTTCCGTATCAGTACAATATAAGATGAAAAATTTTAAAACTGGTACATCTAGCATTAGCTGGGCCCCTAATGTTCTTCCAAGTTACCGTGGCACAGATGCGAGGACATGAGTGACACTCCTAATCATCAGGTCGGAGATTCTAATCCAGAACATTGAAATACTTTTTTCGCTCGAATTTCTGCTGCTTTATTTGGTGGCTAGTGTTAGTAAAAAAATTATTTCAATGTTACGGATAAGAATCTGCGACATGATGATTAGGAGTGTCACTCACGTGCTCCCATCAGCGCCACGGCAACTTGTAACTACATAAGCGGCCCAGCTAATGCTAGATGTACCAGTTTGTTGTTGCTCTTCTTGTATCGTCTGTTAGTAAGTTTTTGAATTGTTCTCAATACCACTAGTGATGATTGCTATCACAATTCAAAGTCTTTTATTTACTTCTTCAACTGTTTGTGAAATTACGAGCCTTCGTGGAGCATAATGGTATACAAGTGAACGTGATTTTCTTAGTCTCAAAATTGTTTTTCAAGGTGTATTTTTATTTTTTTTCCTTATTGCACTTAGTTTTGCTTGTTTAGAGCTCTTTTTCGTCTGAAACCGGAATATGCAGTTTTTTCCTTGGTCCAGCTTTCTCTAAATGGGTCATAGCAAAACTTAAGAGATAAAGTTTTTAAATTCCAATATTGAAAAATGTATGTTCAATTTTTTATTATCTTAAAGACCTTTTCAACCATATGATAGCCATGTTTTACATAGTAAGTTATAGTTGTGTGCAAATTTTTTACGTTGTGTATCTAGCTATATCGGATTTTTTTAAGAGTTCTTTGCTGCCTTTTTTTTTAAAGAATAAAGCATGCGTTAAAGTAGTGTATATGACACCATGGCTCAGTTGTTGGCAATGGGCTTTTGTGCGGGAGGTTTCAGCTTGAATCCCGTAGTCTCACTGAACAGTGATTACAATGTCTCTAAATTTATTATCCGAGGTTTATAGATATGCCTTCTTTCGAGGCATTTTTCTGTAGTTTCTCCCTTGTTAAGAGTCGATGAACGTAGTTCAGACCCTCATATAGGTCGCGATGATGTTTTTTTTGTCAGGCAAAGTCCTCAAAGTTCAGGCTCAATTACTTTTTGGCGGTATGACTTTGATTTCTTTTTAAGTACCGTTCATTTTTTTTGTTAAAAAGAAGGCAAATTCCATTATCGAACAGCAATTCTACAAAAAAAATTCTGGATAAAATATGCATACACTTTTTTTATGCGGATTTTTACATTTTCTATGCGGATTGCACTTGTCTTACTGTTAATTTCTTAGATTAATGATTTAATTCAATTTTATTTAGTAATACGGTTAATTTTGAACAAATCTAGGCTATACTCAAAGTTAGCTTTTGAAATCCGTTTTTTCTCCCTCCAAATCGATTGGGTGGGAATTGTACGGTTGATATTAGATTTTTTCATGAAACAAATCAGTATTTTTTTTGTTTACTTGCGTTCATTGACTCTTTTCAACTGTCAGTTGTCTATATTTTATTTTTTGCCGTGTTTTTTTTTCCGCATGTATTTGCGAAACGAAGCTTCACATCTGTGTAATACATGGTATTATATTCTAGATGTGACTTTGTTTGCACAGATGTTACGAAGTAAACACTAGTTTTTGAAGTCTTCCTCTATCTTTGGCATTTACAGAGAGTGACCTTGTGATTTAATGACGTGATGTTCCTAAATTTATCGACAAGATGGTGTTGCAGTTGCTGGATTTCTATTGGTTGAAACTAGCGCGCTTTCTCATGTCGAATATGTATGGCATTTCTATGCCTGCTGACAAGATGTGAAAATAATGAATTTGGTGAACTTGGAGTTGAAATCTCCAATGATCTATCGTATATCCTTGTGTATTTTGTTGGCTAAAATTGGCATTTTGCAAATCCGGTTTATAAAACAAGATTTATAGTTGACCCGTGAAGTGTTTGTAAACACTTAAAATGTGTTTGTTAAAAGCCGTTTGCATGCGTTGTTAAACGTGCAAATTTGGTTTAACTAATTGATAACATGTATTGAAAGTACTTTTTTCATGTTTGTGGTTTTGAGTGAAAAAAGAGCTTAATAAATTTCAGCCTCACCCTTAAAGTGAGAGGTTACACAAATCATTAATCATTTGGTATAAAATTAATTCAATAGAAGTTTTCAGGAAGCTTTGGGACGGCCATTTGCAATGCTTCTTTTTGATGAAGGGGGAGTTGTAGACTTTTTTTTTCCATTGAGATCTGTTTAACTCTCCCCCTCTCACGCTCACCCCATTGCCTTAGGGGGAAGATTCTTTACTAGATAAAAAGTTCACACTAGCTTAACCGTTGAATTAGTTTTTTCTAAGAATAATGAATGTAGCGAGTACTCTTATATGGGTCTTGGTGATTTTTTTTGTTTTTTTTTTCAGGAAAAAGTCTTGAAATTTGTTCACGCTCAATTTTGATTTTTCTCGGTTTAACTTGTGATTTATTTTTAAGTTCAGTGCATTTACTTAGTTAAAAAGAAGGCAAACTCCACTATCGAACAGCAAAAGTGTAAAGGTCACGAAAAACGTGATCGACTTTAATTTCGAAAATAGAAATTAATTATCAGATTTCCCAGCGAAGTAAAAGTTTTACCTATTGATCCAGTTTTCTCAAATTGGGTTAATTTTAACAAAAAAAGTCTCCATCATAAATTGTTCTTTAAATTCAAAGAGCTATAAGGTCATCTATTTTTTTCTTCGAATTTCAAAAGTTGAAGGTTTTTGAAAAAAAAACTAGTCAGTTTTTTTTTCAGTTTCCTTGCGTTCATTACTCTTTTCCAACTGTCAGATGGCTATGTTGCTATGTTTGTAGTGGTGGCAATTCGTTAGTAGGTGCCAAAAACAGAAATTGTTGAAGATCCGGCCATTGCAACACGGCTTGTCCGGTGCTTTTTTTCCTATTTTTTGGAGCCTTGGTATTAACATAAATTGATACCAGATGACCATTTATTAACAAAGTAATTTTGCCAGGCCACAATCCAAATCCACAGTCAATTTTTTCTAGGTTTAAATGAACTTTATGCTCTTCAAGTTTAGTTTATCTGTTACCAGGTATGTTCAGCACATCTATTAGCAAAGACACTGGCGGGCGCAAACCCTCTGGTGCAGACCACACCGATGGAGATGACAACGACAATACCAGGGACAGAGGAGCTACAATTAATCTGAAGCCGAGCAAACAACGAACTAAAGCGAAGAAGAAAATGTGCAAATTTTTTTAGATTTTCGGCCAATTTTGTAGTATAATAAAGCGATCTCATTATGTACGGTTGCATCTTACCTTTCAAAACAACAGTCTCCTGGCATGTTTTAAGGCTGATTGAAAAAAATTGAGACAGATTGATCTTTCTGACTAAATTTCATAAATGGATTTCTGGTTTTCATTGTCAGGTTTTTTAGCCACAAAAATCTAAATGGCCGGTAATTGATTGGAGTGAACTTGAAAAGAGCAGCTTTGCTTTGTAGCGCCATCATCATTCTGTATCTGTCTTCATGTAGTCAAAGAGCTTTGTTTTTTTGCGAAGTTTTCTCAATGAACTTGAAAAATAATCTGAACAAGAAGTTGCTTATAATCTTCAACGATATGAACAAACAATTATTTCATTGTGATTGTCTATGTTTTTCTTCTTTATTTTTACCTAATAAATGATTGGAAAGTAATCAGTCAATTATTTCAGATAATAATGTAAAATATGACATAATTGTGCAATTTGAAATTATCTTTCATTTTAATTTTTTTAACTGATGGGGCTAATTCCAAGGAAAAAGTTCATACTTATCAACTCAATTATTGATAGTTAAGTACATTCATTTTAACTATTCATAATTAATTTATCAACCATTTTAGAAGCTACTTGAAATCCGAGTTCTCAGGGAATTCTGTTCTTTTAAGTCAAGAAATCTTACTTGTTGCTCTCGATTGATTCAATCTTATTCAAGAGATCCCAGATTGTTTTTAAGAAACTGCGCTGTTGATTTAAAATTCCTTATTTTGGTGCTCTATTTTATCTAACTGTAAAAATGTACCATAAAATTTTGTATAGCTTTAAACCTAACACTGTACAAAATAAGTTTTGATACGTGTCTTTAAACTCTTCAGAACTTTAATAATGAAATCCGAACGTTTATTTGGTTTGGCACTTTTTTCCAAAGGGGACGATGTTCATGAAAAGTTCAAAAAACGTTCGGGTTTCTTGTTTGCTTTCTGCTAAGAAAGCTGTACTAGTGGCGCAGTTCGCAATATTCCGTGTAAAAACCCTCATCAATCTATTTCTATTAGTATTCATTTCTTCATTCATGGTTGAATATTTAGATTGAAATTTTTTCATCTTTTATTTAAGTAACACTTGTGTTAACAAGTTCAACGTCTTTTTTCTGCTTACCTAATGTGCAAAATTCTGTGTTTAATGTTCAAAAGATAAGATGGAATATTTGTGCCCGGTATCGTTTCAATTTTTACCTAGCATCTCGGACGGATTTTTTAATAAACAGTACGAAATTTTTTGGTGTACAAACTCAAAGATCTCTTACTAATTATTTAAAGTGTATTTTGTCCTTCGAGGCGAATGGTTTGGCGAATTGGAGATGCTTAATTTGAGCAGCTCCAAACTTTTTGTCAACGCGTCGCGTAGGCTGCTTAATTGCTGTTAACTTAATGATGAAACTTGCAAGATTAAGTGTCTTGTAGTCGGCAACTGATTTTTTCCCCACTTTAGGCGACCATAAAGCACTGTTGTTCTAACTTAGTAAGACAATTATCTTGCTGCTTGTAATAGTCGATGAACATACTTCAGATTCTTAATTTGATCGCGATTATTTTTTTCGTTTTTTCTTCATGAATGGTCTTAAAATTTGTTCAGGCTCGAAGTTACTTTTTCGCGGTTTGATTTTTGATTTCTTTTTAAGTTCAGTTCATGTTTGTCAAAAGAAAAAACAAATTCCACTATCGAACAGCAAAGCTTAAAGGTCACGAAAAACGTGATTGATTTCTAGTTTCGATAGTGGATTTTTTTTCAGACTACCCAGCGAAATAGAATATTTAAGAATTGATCCAATTTTCTCAAATTGGGTCATTTTTATCGGAAAATAGCCACTCATAAATTGTTTCAGAAAATAAAAGAAAAGAGCTTTAAGGGCTCCTATTTTTTCTTCGAAACTCGAAAGTTAAGATTTGTTCTAAAAAAAGTCTGTATTTTTTTTACATGCGTTCATTGAATCTTTTTTAACCGTCTGTTGGCTAGGTTATTGTTCTTGCGATGAGCAAAGGTATTGCAACAGGGTACTAAACTTTTCTCCCTTTATTAATTCAGTTCACAGAAGAGTCAATTAAGTAATTTACTATCTCGAAGCTTCTTGTGATATAACACCTACATATTACCTGCATTTCTTATTTTGATATCGTAATTGATTTTTAAGTTGTTCATGCAAGTATAGTGATTGTTTTTAAGCAAAAATTGTCGAATGTTTTCAGTTAAATAATTGTCGGCCTTATTTTTGTCGGCTTATTTACCTAATGTTTTTTTTTAGTTCATAAGCTTAACATAAACTTTTCTGCTACTTTTTAGAAACCATAAAATGTAAAATTTTCAATTCTTTTCTCGGATGTAGATTTGTTCAAAATTTTATCGCTATTGTTGGAGCTACATACTGTGTTAATTAAATCTGTTTCGGTGAAGATAATTACGCTTGCGATAAGCAAGAGTTATCAAATCGGAGTATAGACTTTTTTCGGGTTAACAACTAGTTCAACAGAATCTTTTGAATCATTTTACCTTTTTTGCTTTTAATTAACTTATCCGATTGGTGTTATTTCAGATTTTCAGTTTTTTCTATTGGCGCGGCCTTTGAAAATGGGGAGGAACTTTGAATTCGAGTTATTCATTTTTTTTGGAAGAAAAATGTTGTCGATTATTCCCAGTTCCCTAATTTTCTACATATTTTGGTTGTTCTCTAATTACACCACATACTAAAAAAGAACACACCGCGCACTTAGAAAAAAAGAAAAATCGTTTTTGTAGTTTTTTATGAATATAGTCGGAACATTCTGTGATACTTTTACAGCAACCGGCTATCCTTGTTGATTCTTTTTCTTGGTTTTGCGTGTGGAGAGTATTATTAAAATCCATCCTTTTTTTTACCGAAAACTCTTATCACGATACATGGCAGAACACGTTTCAAACACGTTACATGTCTGTTTGCTTTTTTGACAGTTACATCTGAGCAACAGGAAGAAGAAGAGTTCATTTCTCATGGTTAATGGTAAATAAACGGAAATAAAAATTATAACAGGAAGCACTAGAAACAGTGAGAGAGAGGACAGCTAACGAACCCATTGAGTTACAAAGCACTCTCCGTTTTATCGAATGAAATATGAAATTGGAGATCTTCAAAGAAAGTGAAAACATAAAGGACACATTTTAAAAAATTGTCAAATGTTGAATAAAATAAAGTAGCTGATAAATGGCTTTGACTTGGCAGTCTTATTACATAAGGTCCAAGTTTGGAGATCTTCAAAGAAAGTGAAAATATAAAGGACACATTTTAAAAAATTGTCAAATGTTGAATAAAATAAAGTAGCTGATAAATGGCTTTGACTTGACAGTCTTATTACATAAGGTCCAAGTTCATTTTTTCAAATGATTGTTCAATCGTAGTCGGTATACAGCTGAATTAAATGAAAATATTTCAAACCCATCGCCGAAAAATTCTTAAACTTGCTTGTCAGAAATTTTGTGGGATGGGCTTGAACGTTTTTCCTATTAATTTCGGTTTTATGGCGACTCCGATTGAACAATTATTTTAACTATTGATGCAGAGCTCGCTAACGTTTTATTTGGCGCCATAAATTTAATGTTTTAGAATAAAGTTTTAAATAAACTGGGTTAAAAGTTCGGTATTTCAGACCAAATGGGCAATAAAAGTAACATAAATCAACAACGTGGGCTCTTGTAATTAAAATGGTGATCAAAATCATGACAAATTTCGTCGAAATTTTCCTAACTCTTCTTTGGGTATCCGTGACACATGCCTCGTCGAATTGCGGAAATTTATGTGGGAGCATCTGTAATCTGCAATTAGTAAATCCGAATCAAAATTTATCTGCCGGGTCTTCAGTCTCGGTAGATGTTTCCTGTTCAGTTGTGAATACGAATGGAGTCGGTGATCCGGAACCCTTCGTTCTCGTGCTAACTGCTCCCGAGCAGATTCAAGGTAACAAAAATTGGGTAATCGTGGATTATATAAGGAAATGAAGGAATTTATTAAACAAATTCAGCGTAGTTAAAGCAGATTCAACGTATATTTAAACAATTTTCAAATTTAATTGAACCCCGAGAGGACAGCAATCGGGCCCGCTAGGGTCTCAAAGCTCTTACAGATGTTAGAATTTAGTTGTTTAACCCCTAAATGGGGAATTTTGGAGAATACTAAATGGGAAATACGAATTTAATAGTTATTTTATATTGTTGCGCCAGCGTCCAATTTATGGTGGAGGTTAAAACTGAAAAACCTTAGGAGTATTAGCTGATATATTTTCTCAAAAGCTTGGATATAATGATCTAACATAACACAAGCAATGCTTCTCTTGAATAACATATGATGTTCTTTTTATGAATTTATATGAAGTAATGATGTGGTCCCGAATGTTTAAGTTTCTAGAAGATGCAGAACTTCTACGATCTTTTTTGTCAATATCGAAAGCATGCTCCTAATATTTAAAAGCATTTTAAGAAATCATTTAACCCTTTTTTTATAGAGATTCTCCTCTCCTTTGACTGTACGTCAAATACCGCAAGCTGCCTTGTACCTTCTCTAAACGCCTCACTTGAAACTGCGACTCTGTTAGCATCGAATCCTCTGGAAAAATACCAATTCAACGACTCCGAAGGGGTTATCATAGCGTTATCGGGATCGGTGCCAGTTGCAAGTACAGTCGAAGTGTCTGCGACTTTGAACGTATATGTCCAAAATTTGTACTCTATGCGAGATTCGATTGTCGTGGTCAACGGAAGTGTTCGCGGGTTCCACGACTTGACTCATCCAATCGGAACCTCAGCGCCGGTTGAGGTCCAAAAAACAGAAATCCCGACTCTCGGGATGTTGTCGGTGACTAATGATGAAACGTATTTGGCGATTGGCGAGACGGATACTATTGAATTTCAAGTGTTAGCGGGGGAAGTTGGATTCACCGCGACGTTGGAAATATGTGAGTTATGGATAAAGATATTGCTTTGTTGTCTATATAACCCCCCCCCCTCCCCAATTTTCAATTTCAATTTGAAAAAAAAATACTTTTTATTGTCATAATGCAGTGAAGCTTGGCATAGCGAACAAATTAATAATTGTGAACAGATTTGTTCTTGATACTTTGCATCGTAACATCACGCATTCAGCCATAATAACACGTAAAACACCTATAAAATGAGAAGTTTTGAAAAGGGGGGAGGGGAAGATTGGAAAGAAGCTAGAAAATAGTTTGATTAAGCCAGCTTCTCGTTTCTCTTTTTTATCTGATAATTTTATTCTATGGCGGCCATTTTTGCAAATCAGGATATGAAATCTAAAATCTACTGAATTTGATGTCGAATTAGTGCGCAAACAAAATTCACTGCGGCGAGATTGTTTGTCAATCTGAACTGAAATTTCAACTCAATTTCATTGTATATATTTTTTCGCACTCACAATCTATGTTTTGTAGACTCGAATTACCAACTGAATATCTTCACTTTCAATATCGACAACACAAATCTCGTGAACAATTTGGACCACGTTGAAAACATGACGGCACTAGATCCTCTTCCTTCCATATCAGATTCGGACAATAACCAAATGTATAAAGTGGACTTGTCTGGATTTTGTTGCGATGCTGCAACATCACATGATTTTGAGGTAGCTTTAAACTTTTGCAAAAAAATGATTGTTTTACAAACTTATTCTCATATTTCGTAACTAACAAAAAATTTTAAAATGTTTTATAGGTATTTACACTCACCATTCGGCCAGGTGTAAAATAATGATTTTAACCAAGTGCTGATGGAAAGAAAAAGTTCCTGTGTTTGATATCTGAAACTAAAAATCATTAAATCTTTAAATGTGCATTTTGAAAGTTCTCTGTTCAGATTGGATATCACTTGTGGGAGACTGCTGATCAAGGAGACGAAGTGTACATTAGTGTCTACTTGAAAAACAGCGTCTCCGGATGGCCTCTGTTTGTGGGAATCAAAAATGCAGAGACATTTAGCACCAATCCTGGAGTCTCCGTGACCAAGTCGTTGAAGGTTTGATTTAATCTGCAAAGAAAGCGATTTATTGCAGAAATCGATTTTAACACAGAATTTGTTATTCCAAAAACAACATCGTCGTAGCCTGATGATAACATAAAAAATTTCCTTTTTCTATGAAAAAAGATTACACGCGAAGCCAAGTGAAGTTTTCTTTGGAATCATAGATAGGGTTTTGATCTGTCTTGCATATTAACAAATGGGTAGAAATATTTAACTAAATTATCAATGTTCTTGATTCTGTGACGGCACTGATTTTATGGCTAATAATTAGTAGAGGAAATTTTTAACATGATTCGACAGTTTTTTCGGTTTAGCTCGTATCGGCTGATCCAGTGCCTCAAGTGTACAGAGTTCAAATTGAGGTCAACAACCGAAGTCCATACCCTCTGAGGTCATTCAACCTTCTAGATGACATCTCTAACCTGAGGTAATGAATTATAAAATTCATCGTGACAGGTCCATTAATGGAACATTTGTTAGTTTAGATTGTAGATTAGTCGTAACTGAAGACTCGTACAAACTGACTGACTGCTTTAGAAAAACTTCAAACGCCTGCCAATGTATTTGTATTGGTGAAAGTCTATTTTCATGAACTGCAAAATTTTGATACACACCCAAAATTTTGCATTGGATGGAAAAAATAGAATCGTTTTTAAGAGTCGATGAACGTAGTTCAGACCCTTATGTAGGTCGCGATGTGTTTTTGTTTTTTTAGTTGCGTTTATTGACTCTTTTCCAACTGTCTGTTGGCTATATTTTATATTTTGTTTTCAGAGTTCTCGATAATTCCAATCTGCAATCCCCCTTTGACTGGACACAAACCCCCAATTCTCTGGAGACCTCTGAACCTATCATCACTACAGCACAAACCTCTTTCAACTTCTCCTATGATGTGTCGCTGGATGAAGATGGAGATGGAGGCGGATTCCCATTTGATGCAAGACAGTGGCGTGCAGTTCAGGCTTCGTTTGTGATTGTAGATGCAGCAGAATCTGTAGATAATGTAAGCTCTTATCCTTATAATTTCCTATTTTTATTTAATCTTGATGTTCATCATCACAAATCATGTCCTAGTCTAGTTCCATAGTTAAATTGAATATCACGCTGTTGCTGCAAATCAAGTAATGGAAGAAATCGATTAATGTCTTCCAATTTTTGTATTACCAGCTCTATCGGTTAATAGATGTACCGTTAAATGGCTCTGGCGATCAGTTTATTTCTATTTGATGGAAAGCGAGCTTATATTTAGAAAAAAGAGATTTGGGTTAAAAGTTGTTTTGTTCTTTCAGTATCTGGGAAAGGAGTTCTTTGTGTCCCCAGAATGTCCAGCTTGTTTCACAGCGAGGAACTTGGAAACTAAAGAGGCAAGTATATTAATGGCTCTGTTGCAAACTCAACTAACTGCTTTAGTTCTCGGATCTTGGTAACTATTCCCTCTATTGATGACGGGAAGATCCGTTACAAGGTACAACATTATAACATGCGTAATCGTTGAATTAGCTCTTTATTCGAGGCGGCGTTTCTTTACTAGTTCTCGCTTGCGTTAATATTCAGCTGCTCAATTGTTTTGGTATGAAATTTTCCGCAACTTTGCTTGAGTATATCTGAAAACTTTTGAGCATAAATAGGGGTGTTCTTAGCTATATGGGACGTTCTGGGCAACAGCTACTTTGTTTATGCTTTTCCTTGAGGAGAAAAGGTCTTAAATTGTCAGAAGAATTTGATCATATTAATGAAAAATTACTCGAGCTATTGTATTTCGAGCTATTAGAGTTATTTAAAAAAAATTGGAGTGAATAATGGTTTCGCGATGAATAACAAATTGATTGTATTTAGACCACTGATAGATACTATGGCTTCATAGTTGGTGTCATTCTCTGTCTCCTGTTTGGATTCCTCCTGGCAATCTTTATTCTATTCATCTCTGTATACTGTTGTGGATTCAACTCCATGATAGCAGGTAAGAAAAATCTATCTAATTTTTGATAATTTTCGAGTTACTTTCAAAGTAGAAGGAAAGTAAATCAAATCAGTTTCTGCGATATCTCTTTTTTTATGAATATGCGCAATTGCTGTGTTTTCATCAGCTTTTGTCAGAGGATAATTAGTGTGCACGCATGCCTCTATAGAAATGACTCCTACATGGTTCGGAATCACGTTAAGCAGGGGGGAGGGGGGGTATACAGGGGTTCAGCGGGAAGTTTTCGCGAAAAGGTGTGGTGTTTATTCTTGTTTTTCGATTCTTTTCACTTTTGTTTGTTTAGTGTCCCCATTGGCAGATGAAGAGACATGTGAAGAAAGAGAGAAGAGGCTTCGGAAGGAGTTGAGAGAGAGGAAGAGGAGTGAGCGAGAGAAGAGACACAAGATGAGAGCCAGACAAAACCAGATTGTAAGTTCAGTCATACTTGTACCGACAAGGTTTCACTCATATAGCATTTCGGATTAACAATTTGATACTTAGACAAAGAGATCTTTGTCTGAAGTTAGTAGATAATGAGTTCTTCGGAGAATTTTCTGGGTCTAAAATTGGTAACAAGGATGCGAATTAGCTTAGAATGAAAGCATTTCATGATAGATACAGCGAATCTATTTGTTTTCCATGAGAGAATACTGAGAAATCTAACAGTGATTGAGATAAACCAAAAGTTAAACCCGTTTCAGGTCCCCAAATCGAAAGTAGCAGCTCCTAAGAGCAAATCCTACTTGGTGGGATCTAAACATGCGTACGAGGCTGCTCTTCAGTCGCTGTGTAGCCACAAGAACACCAAGGATAATATCTCCAACTACAAGGAGTGTACTGTGGTTGAGGTTGCGTCAATTGACGATGCGATCAAAGCAGACAAGGAGATAGCATGGTTAGTTGGCATCAAGGTCAATCTTGAAGGACAGGCTTTTTAATTAAGAGATTGATTCTGTTTATTTTTTAAAAGTCGATGAACGTAGTTCAGACTTTAATGTAGGTCGCGATGGTTTTTTTCCGTTTTTTCTCATGAAAAGTCTTAAAGTTTTCCTTTTGTACAGGCTCAAATTAAATTTTTTGCGGTTTGACTCTTTATTTATTTTTAAGTTCCGTTTATTTCCTTTGTTAAAAGGAGGGCAAGCTCCAGTTTCGTCAGCGAAAGTGTAAAGGCCACGAAAAACGTGATCGACTTCTAGTTTTGAGAGTGGAATTTAATTATCAGAATGCCAGCAAATTAAAATTTTACTTGTTGATCCAGTTTTTACACCAGCGGCAGCCTAGTGTATTGTTCCGAACCTTTTTTTTAAGTTAACTCGCTAATAAAGTGTTCATGAAAAGTGTTCACTTATTTGGAATTTTCACTGTAGCATTGGACATTGTAAAGCATCTGTTCTCTGCTTTATTTGTGACTATTGTTTGGCTATTAATTATTAAGCTTCCCTGACAGAGTGGTTAGGGTGTGAGACTCTTAATCTCTAGGTCACAGGTTCGAAGCTCAGACGTAACTGAATTTTTTGTTAATTCGAGGCTTATTTCTACTTTTTGTTTTTGCATTTTATAGAGCTACTTTTTTGTCGTGTTGTCGTTAATGTAAAAACTATATCACCAAAACTTTGCTTCAAACGTTAAAGCTTTTGAAGATTTAGCTCTTCAATTTTCTTAACAATTTCACTTTTCTGACATTTGGGTTTCGCTTTGTCACAAAATGCATTCGATTTTATGAAAAACTTGAGCGAATTCCTTCGCTCCGCTTCCACGGTTTTTTAATTTCACAAACGCAGCAAATACTCAGATGCGTCGGTCAGGTGTTTGATGTTAGCAGAAAGTTGTCTAATTCTTTTTTGCAATGTCTAATTCTTTTTTTGGATTTTCTCTTCGTTTTTCTTTTTGTTCTTTAAGTCGTTTCCCTATCTTGAACTTGCTGCACGAACATCATTTGTCGCATCAAACTTCCTTACTCCCCCAATATGTTGAATACCGTCTCTTCATCTTCGCAAAGCCACTTAAGTATCGAATTATTTGTTGTCATCAATCAGATCTTGGTTGACAGAAAAGCAACACTCTACATTCGCTGAACCATATGATAGCGACATAATTTTTCGCAGGACCAAAAAGAGATACATTTGAACCACCAATTGAAGGGTACTTATATATTCATGATCAAGACTTTATTTAAAGATATCGAGATCCGAATTTGAAGTCGAGTATTTCGACGTGCTAAGAGCCTCTTTATACTGCTCGATGACAATATCAAACTCTATATGAACTTCCAGTGGCCCCTTCGTAAGTTTCTTATTATTACACTTGCGATCAGCTTAGTGTATTATTACGAACCTTTTTTTGTTTTCTAAACCAACTTGCAAATAAAAGTGTTCTCTTATTTGGAAATTTAACTGTAGCATTGGAAATTGCATAGCATCTGTTCTCTGCTTTATTTGTGGCGAGTGTTTGGTGCATCTTAAGCTTCCGTAGCTGAGTGGTTAGTCTATGAGACTCTTAATCTCTAGGTTGTAGGTTCGAATCTCAGACGTAGCCGAACTTTTACATATTCGAGGCTTATTTCAGATTTTTTTATTGCACCTTGAGGTGCTTTTTGTCATGCTCTCGCTAGTGTTTGTGAAGCGAAGTTTCGCCTCTGTGTCTTAAATTGGGTCGATTTTATTTAAAAAGCCAATTATAAATTGTTCAAGAAAAAAAAGAGGTTTTCGGGTATCATTTTTTTCTTCCAATTTCGGAAGGTGAGATTTTTCAAAAAACAAGTCAGTATTTTTTCTGTTTACTTGCGTTCAATAATTTATTGCAACTGTCTGTTGGCTGTTTGTTAGGAATGTACAATAAGTTGACCGTTCTTTATAAGGAAACCTGAAGTTCCTTAACTTCCAAGCGCTTCATATTTGGTCAAGTGGTAAAATCATGCGTTGGGAGCCTAAGTGCAGGGTTTGAGATTTTTCTGTGAAAAATTGAATTTTCCGTCTGCCGTTTTTCCACTTAATTCTTGTCGGCTCTTTTTTGCAAGCATGTGAACTTTTCCGTAAAGCTCAAGAAGTTTTCACCGTTCTTAGAGTACCGTATCTAACAGTTTAAAAGATGCAAGGAATTGAGTTTCAAAATTTTGTATAGTTTTTGTTAGAAATTGTTCGTTGAAGTTTCTCGGGCCTAAATGGTTTCAGCATTTTTTATCTTGGCGAAGTTGCCTCATTATATGTCGTTCAAAGGTCAAAGGTATAGCTTAATGCGTTTTTGTGCTTCTGTTGACGGAAAATCTTGAAACTTTTCTAACACAAAGTATTCTAGCTTTTCTTGAGCTAACTTTTCTCAAGTTTCTTAGATTCTCCGACTCATTTTATGTAGGGGTAACGAATGCTCTTGGAATCGCAATGGTCCTAGGTTCGAATGTGACCACGACCACGATTTTTTTTTCAAACTGGAAGAATTGCGTTTCAAAAGAACTGTCGGTCTATGATTTTTCTACTGATAATTTGTTTGCCTAGTTGACACAATTTTTATGCACGCATTTTTTTGTAGTTGCTCATTGTGTTTTGGTTAACTCCTGCAATTTTTTTTCTAATAACTTTGACTTAGTATATTTTCCTTTTTTCGCTGAAATTTTTTTTATCGGTCTTTGATAATTTTGTTTTATATTATTGGCTTAGTGACCTAATTTTGGGTGCTGTCAAGGGAAACAATTTTTTTATTTTCCCCTCCAGAGCGCAAAAGATGCTAAAACCTTACATAAGAATTTATAGTTCAACATTTTTCATGAAACAAGTTGTTATTCGGTTCTGGTTCTACGCGAATTTTACCAAGCTTGGTTGGCTCAGTTGTCTCTCAGTATTTATTTTGAATTTTAATTAAAAGCCGTGGATTGTTTTAGGTCGTGTGTCTCATAAATAGAGCATCATTCCACGCAATATTTTGGAAGTTTTTTCTTGTGGTTTTTCGAATACTTTTTGCTCTTAGTAGCTCTCCTTTCCTTACCAGCTTGTTAGCATGCTATGCTATTTTTATGAGGTATGGCAAGTGGTGCGAAGCTCAGCTTCCTCTCTGTGCTTCAAAAAATATATATTTTTAGCTGAGTGGCTTTGTTTCTGTCCGCTTGCACTGCTATGTATGTGATGTGTCGGAAGTGTTTGGAAGCTCAACTTCGCCTCTGTAGAATGTTGACTTATATTCATAAGCAATCAGTAGAAAAAATGAATGGCATGTTTTTGTGATGCTCTAACAGTGTAACTGTAATATTACATGCTCATGCTATTAAAATAAGTCGTATCGTTTTTTGTTTGACTTCGTTTATCTAACTGGTTTTTGGAATATTTTTCAGTTTTTTCGAACACTACCCAGCCACAGCTGAGACAAAGAATTCAATTGAAAAAGTGAGTAGTAGCTTTCTCCTTAAATAAGCAGTTAACCTCCTACTTAAACAGATAAGTTACTAGCGTTTTGCGTTAAGTCTTTTTTTTGAAAATGCGATTACGTGAGTGACGCTCCTAATCATAAGATCGGATATTCAAATCCGGGAAAGTTTTTTTTCGCTCGAGTTTTGCTACTTTATTGATGGCTAGTGTTAGTAAAATTACAATCGGTCGTAGAACAGATGTGATAAGGTGATACTGCTAATCTCAAAATTGAACTTTAATTTTTTTCAAGGCGTATTTTCAGTATTTTCCATATTTTGTTTTGCCTGTTTAGAGCTCTTTTTGCATTTTCCTCATTTGGGAAGCACAGCTTCGTTTCTGTGTAAAGTCTTTGCATTCATGCTTCGAAGCCCATAGAAAAAATCCGCAGTATAAAGAAAAACCGGTTTAAAATTTTTTGACTTTTGGTCAAATAGAGCAAGTTTTGAACAAATAAAGCGAGCTTGCAGGCTTAGAATTTGGAAATGAGACGTAAAATCTTAGTTTTACTTCAGGAAAATTAGTTGTTGAAGTTTCTTTTAGCGAACTCTTGACTTTTACATATTCGAGAACTTTTACATATTCGAGGCTTATTTCAGATTTTTTTATTGCACCTTGAGGTGCTTTTTGTCATGCTCTCGCTAGTGTTTGTGAAGCGAAGTTTCGCCTCTGTGTCTTAAATTGGGTCGATTTTATTTAAAAAGCCAATTATAAATTGTTCAAGAAAAAAAAGAGGTTTTCGGGTATCATTTTTTTCTTCCAATTTCGGAAGGTGAGATTTTTCAAAAAACAAGTCAGTATTTTTTGTGTTTACTTGCGTTCAATAATTTATTGCAACTGTCTGTTGGCTGTTTGTTAGGAATGTACAATAAGTTGACCGTTCTTTATAAGGAAACCTGAAGTTCCTTAACTTCCAAGCGCTTCATATTTGGTCAAGTGGTAAAATCATGCGTTGGGAGCCTAAGTGCAGGGTTTGAGATTTTTCTGTGAAAAATTGAATTTTCCGTCTGCCGTTTTTCCACTTAATTCTTGTCGGCTCTTTTTTGCAAGCATGTGAACTTTTCCGTAAAGCTCAAGAAGTTTTCACCGTTCTTAGAGTACCGTATCTAACAGTTTAAAAGATGCAAGGAATTGAGTTTCAAAATTTTGTATAGTTTTTGTTAGAAATTGTTCGTTGAAGTTTCTCGGGCCTAAATGGTTTCAGCATTTTTTATCTTGGCGAAGTTGCCTCATTATATGTCGTTCAAAGGTCAAAGGTATAGCTTAATGCGTTTTTGTGCTTCTGTTGACGGAAAATCTTGAAACTTTTCTAACACAAAGTATTCTAGCTTTTCTTGAGCTAACTTTTCTCAAGTTTCTTAGATTCTCCGACTCATTTTATGTAGGGGTAACGAATGCTCTTGGAATCGCAATGGTCCTAGGTTCGAATGTGACCACGACCACGATTTTTTTTTCAAACTGGAAGAATTGCGTTTCAAAAGAACTGTCGGTCTATGATTTTTCTACTGATAATTTGTTTGCCTAGTTGACACAATTTTTATGCACGCATTTTTTTGTAGTTGCTCATTGTGTTTTGGTTAACTCCTGCAATTTTTTTTCTAATAACTTTGACTTAGTATATTTTCCTTTTTTCGCTGAAATTTTTTTTATCGGTCTTTGATAATTTTGTTTTATATTATTGGCTTAGTGACCTAATTTTGGGTGCTGTCAAGGGAAACAATTTTTTTATTTTCCCCTCCAGAGCGCAAAAGATGCTAAAACCTTACATAAGAATTTATAGTTCAACATTTTTCATGAAACAAGTTGTTATTCGGTTCTGGTTCTACGCGAATTTTACCAACCTTGGTTGGCTCAGTTGTCTCTCAGTATTTATTTTGAATTTTAATTAAAAGCCGTGGATTGTTTTAGGTCGTGTGTCTCATAAATAGAGCATCATTCCACGCAATATTTTGGAAGTTTTTTCTTGTGGTTTTTCGAATACTTTTTGATCTTAGTAGCTCTCCTTTCCTTACCAGCTTGTTAGCATGCTATGCTATTTTTATGAGGTATGGCAAGTGGTGCGAAGCTCAGCTTCCTCTCTGTGCTTCAAAAAATATATATTTTTAGCTGAGTGGCTTTGTTTCTGTCCGCTTGCACTGCTATGTATGTGATGTGTCGGAAGTGTTTGGAAGCTCAACTTCGCCTCTGTAGAATGTTGACTTATATTCATAAGCAATCAGTAGAAAAAATGAATGGCATGTTTTTGTGATGCTCTAACAGTGTAACTGTAATATTACATGCTCATGCTATTAAAATAAGTCGTATCGTTTTTTGTTTGACTTCGTTTATCTAACTGGTTTTTGGAATATTTTTCAGTTTTTTCGAACACTACCCAGCCACAGCTGAGACAAAGAATTCAATTGAAAAAGTGAGTAGTAGCTTTCTCCTTAAATAAGCAGTTAACCTCCTACTTAAACAGATAAGTTACTAGCGTTTTGCGTTAAGTCTTTTTTTTGAAAATGCGATTACGTGAGTGACGCTCCTAATCATAAGATCGGATATTCAAATCCGGGAAAGTTTTTTTTCGCTCGAGTTTTGCTACTTTATTGATGGCTAGTGTTAGTAAAATTACAATCGGTCGTAGAACAGATGTGATAAGGTGATACTGCTAATCTCAAAATTGAACTTTAATTTTTTTCAAGGCGTATTTTCAGTATTTTCCATATTTTGTTTTGCCTGTTTAGAGCTCTTTTTGCATTTTCCTCATTTGGGAAGCACAGCTTCGTTTCTGTGTAAAGTCTTTGCATTCATGCTTCGAAGCCCATAGAAAAAATCCGCAGTATAAAGAAAAACCGGTTTAAAATTTTTTGACTTTTGGTCAAATAGAGCAAGTTTTGAACAAATAAAGCGAGCTTGCAGGCTTAGAATTTGGAAATGAGACGTAAAATCTTAGTTTTACTTCAGGAAAATTAGTTGTTGAAGTTTCTTTTAGCGAACTCTTGACTTTTACATATTCGAGAACTTTTACATATTCGAGGCTTATTTCAGATTTTTTTATTGCACCTTGAGGTGCTTTTTGTCATGCTCTCGCTAGTGTTTGTGAAGCGAAGTTTCGCCTCTGTGTCTTAAATTGGGTCGATTTTATTTAAAAAGCCAATTATAAATTGTTCAAGAAAAAAAAGAGGTTTTCGGGTATCATTTTTTTCTTCCAATTTCGGAAGGTGAGATTTTTCAAAAAACAAGTCAGTATTTTTTGTGTTTACTTGCGTTCAATAATTTATTGCAACTGTCTGTTGGCTGTTTGTTAGGAATGTACAATAAGTTGACCGTTCTTTATAAGGAAACCTGAAGTTCCTTAACTTCCAAGCGCTTCATATTTGGTCAAGTGGTAAAATCATGCGTTGGGAGCCTAAGTGCAGGGTTTGAGATTTTTCTGTGAAAAATTGAATTTTCCGTCTGCCGTTTTTCCACTTAATTCTTGTCGGCTCTTTTTTGCAAGCATGTGAACTTTTCCGTAAAGCTCAAGAAGTTTTCACCGTTCTTAGAGTACCGTATCTAACAGTTTAAAAGATGCAAGGAATTGAGTTTCAAAATTTTGTATAGTTTTTGTTAGAAATTGTTCGTTGAAGTTTCTCGGGCCTAAATGGTTTCAGCATTTTTTATCTTGGCGAAGTTGCCTCATTATATGTCGTTCAAAGGTCAAAGGTATAGCTTAATGCGTTTTTGTGCTTCTGTTGACGGAAAATCTTGAAACTTTTCTAACACAAAGTATTCTAGCTTTTCTTGAGCTAACTTTTCTCAAGTTTCTTAGATTCTCCGACTCATTTTATGTAGGGGTAACGAATGCTCTTGGAATCGCAATGGTCCTAGGTTCGAATGTGACCACGACCACGATTTTTTTTTCAAACTGGAAGAATTGCGTTTCAAAAGAACTGTCGGTCTATGATTTTTCTACTGATAATTTGTTTGCCTAGTTGACACAATTTTTATGCACGCATTTTTTTGTAGTTGCTCATTGTGTTTTGGTTAACTCCTGCAATTTTTTTTCTAATAACTTTGACTTAGTATATTTTCCTTTTTTCGCTGAAATTTTTTTTATCGGTCTTTGATAATTTTGTTTTATATTATTGGCTTAGTGACCTAATTTTGGGTGCTGTCAAGGGAAACAATTTTTTTATTTTCCCCTCCAGAGCGCAAAAGATGCTAAAACCTTACATAAGAATTTATAGTTCAACATTTTTCATGAAACAAGTTGTTATTCGGTTCTGGTTCTACGCGAATTTTACCAAGCTTGGTTGGCTCAGTTGTCTCTCAGTATTTATTTTGAATTTTAATTAAAAGCCGTGGATTGTTTTAGGTCGTGTGTCTCATAAATAGAGCATCATTCCACGCAATATTTTGGAAGTTTTTTCTTGTGGTTTTTCGAATACTTTTTGATCTTAGTAGCTCTCCTTTCCTTACCAGCTTGTTAGCATGCTATGCTATTTTTATGAGGTATGGCAAGTGGTGCGAAGCTCAGCTTCCTCTCTGTGCTTCAAAAAATATATATTTTTAGCTGAGTGGCTTTGTTTCTGTCCGCTTGCACTGCTATGTATGTGATGTGTCGGAAGTGTTTGGAAGCTCAACTTCGCCTCTGTAGAATGTTGACTTATATTCATAAGCAATCAGTAGAAAAAATGAATGGCATGTTTTTGTGATGCTCTAACAGTGTAACTGTAATATTACATGCTCATGCTATTAAAATAAGTCGTATCGTTTTTTGTTTGACTTCGTTTATCTAACTGGTTTTTGGAATATTTTTCAGTTTTTTCGAACACTACCCAGCCACAGCTGAGACAAAGAATTCAATTGAAAAAGTGAGTAGTAGCTTTCTCCTTAAATAAGCAGTTAACCTCCTACTTAAACAGATAAGTTACTAGCGTTTTGCGTTAAGTCTTTTTTTTGAAAATGCGATTACGTGAGTGACGCTCCTAATCATAAGATCGGATATTCAAATCCGGGAAAGTTTTTTTTCGCTCGAGTTTTGCTACTTTATTGATGGCTAGTGTTAGTAAAATTACAATCGGTCGTAGAACAGATGTGATAAGGTGATACTGCTAATCTCAAAATTGAACTTTAATTTTTTTCAAGGCGTATTTTCAGTATTTTCCATATTTTGTTTTGCCTGTTTAGAGCTCTTTTTGCATTTTCCTCATTTGGGAAGCACAGCTTCGTTTCTGTGTAAAGTCTTTGCATTCATGCTTCGAAGCCCATAGAAAAAATCCGCAGTATAAAGAAAAACCGGTTTAAAATTTTTTGACTTTTGGTCAAATAGAGCAAGTTTTGAACAAATAAAGCGAGCTTGCAGGCTTAGAATTTGGAAATGAGACGTAAAATCTTAGTTTTACTTCAGGAAAATTAGTTGTTGAAGTTTCTTTTAGCGAACTCTTGACAACAATTGTCTTATTAAGGCTTTTTCAGATCCGTTTACAGCCGAACAACAAAAGCATCTCAAAAATACATAATCTTTTATTGTTTTTTTTGTGGTATATTCTTCTGTCTTATGTAAATGTTTCATACGAAAGGAAATAGGTTCATGCAGTATATAAATCATGCGGAACGATTTAAAGTTGTGTCAAATTTAATGAAAAGCTATCACGCACGCTCTTGTTTGGTTTCAGCAGCGACATAGCCGAATCGATCGAGTTCGATAAACACTGCGAAGCAACCCGACTTGACCTAATGATCAAACTTATCAGAAATTTTCTCGCGAGACAACCTAGCGACAACAGCAGCATTTCAACCTCGTCTGAAGTGAATGAAGTTATGACACGGCTGGGAAAAAAGATTGAGATTGCATTTGGGGATGTGAAGAAGAAATTAGACGATGAATTGAGAATGGGGTTGGAGAAATTAAGTAAAGAGATGAAAAGGTTGCACGAGGTTAGAAATAATTTAAAGTGCTCGAACAAAATAATAGTTTATTGCAAAAAAAAATCATGAAAATTAACTGGAAACAAGGAAAACGAGTTAAGACTCTTGGCACAAGGAGAAGACACGGTTTTGCGGTGATTTTTAATATCCATAAGCCATTAGAAAATCTGCAATCTTGGAAATAATCTACAATGGACTAGTTGCTAAAAGAACGAATCTAGTGATTCGGAAAAAAATAAAGTCAGCGACGTGAATTAAGAAACTAATTTAGTGACGCTTTCAGAAATAGAAATTGAGCCGAAGTTGAGGAACTGCATTTCGATTGGTCGCCGAAGGTGATTTGTTTGTTGTTGTTTAGAGCCAACTAATGAAGCTGCGTCTGAGACAGTTGAATGAAAGGAAGCCTCTCTGGGATTTGCTGAAGAATGAGCAAAAAATGGTACGCTTTAATTTGATAACAATTTTTTTTTTACAGAATTAAGCGTCTAGGTATCATATCAGCTTAAAGATATAATAGACATAATAACGCCTTAAATAAGTTTTGTTACTTTTCCACGCCTTAATTTAGAGGTCAACGTAGTTTAATTTAAGGAGAGACATAGTTTGGTTGAGTTGTTGGACAAGCAACACAAAAGAGAGGTGGATGAAATAGTACACGTGCTACAGTTGGAGAAATTCGAGAAAACTGAAGAACTTAGAAGGGTTAGTTACTTCAGTCCATTCATTGTACTTGAATTTTCAAGATTTTCAGGTTATTTTTAGCTAATTGGGTGTCGGTCTTCATTATGTCGACGATTTTTTTTTATGTTTTTTAATTTCTATTCAATTGTTTGAATTGAAGTTGATTCATACTTGTCATTGTATTTGCGAAGGCCTGCAATCAATTTCACCATTGACAAACAAAAATTTGTTTATTTTTTCACAATTTTTTCTTGCTGACTTTTGAGTGGCATAGTGTGTCAATCGTACCATTTTTGGTGAAGCAAATTTAAATCATAGTTAATCTGTATTTTTTTTTGCTTTTTAAATCTCTTTTCGGTCTATCATGTATTAGCTTTTGTGTCGGCTAAATGTCCTCGGCACTCTTTTTCTTGATAGCTCGTGTGTTTTAAAGGATAGAAATGGAATTTCCAAATTTATAATTTTGCAGGTAACTGTATTCCAAGATTTTGTATAGTTTCAACTTTTATTTTTTTAAGCGTTCAAAGTTTCATCGGCTTAAATGTTTTCGGCTTGTTTTATCGATATAGTTGTCTTATATTTTATCGTTTGAAAAGTGAAACTAGGTGTATATGTGTTTGCGTGCTTCGGTTGGGATGACATAACAAATCGAATAGTTTTGTTAGGATAGTTACCATTCGATAATTTTGTCTAAATGTTATTTAGGGTGTTTTATTGCTTTTTTCTTTTTTTTCGACTGGCGACTTTCGGCTAGCTCTGCCGGATTATCGCAAGCAGGGGCGGATCTAGGATTTTCTCGAGGGGGGGCGGATTTTCAAAAAATTTTCCAAAATTTTGACGACCTTTTTTTTTAGGTCAACCAAAGTGATGCAAAGTTCTGCTTCGCCTATGTGTTTGGATAGAAATTTCCATTTAAACTTCCATTAAAAGTCGACCTGTTTCTTCATTCAGGCTAATGCGACCGAACTTCGTCTTAAACTGAAAGAAATAATCACAGAAACTCTGCTCACTCAAAAACAGATGATAAACTCCGAGTGGGCTGCCATATCCGATGCTGCCGACTACGAAACCTCAGCCTCTTTTCTTCTAGATTGCGAATTCCAACTGGATTCCATCACGCGTGAATTTGAACAAAGTCTGAACAAATTGGAATCTTATCTTGGTAGGAATATTTCAGATGCCTTCAATGAAATATTGTATGCAACAATGAAATTCAATAACTTGTTTCCAAATGAGGTTATTATGCAAATTGATAAGTTCTTCTATATTAGCATCACTTGAAAGAGCGTTGTAGGACTAAAACCTAGCCTGTTTTCAGTAATCTAAGATGCTCAATGCATTTCGATTGAGTGATGGGTCCCTGTCTAAATATTTTGAAAAACGTTTGAATGATTCGAATAAAAAGGAAGGGCAATCTGCCGTTTTAAACATATTTTGCATCTAGTTTCTCTCTGAATAATTAGCTTTGACATGCAAATGTTCTGATACAGGTCTCTTTTTGATGAGAGATGTCTGATCGAATCATAATAATTTTGGTTTCAAGCCAGAAACTTCTATCAAACTGTACGTTTACAACTTAATTCGGCTTGTTGGGACCTTCTTTTTGAGTCTTTTTTATCTTTCCACATCTGTGCGCTGGTGGATGTGAATGATATGGAAAAATGGCGTGGAATTTGATTAGATCTGTAGCGGAATAACATGAAGATCTGTAACTTTCCACATGAAGTTTATGGTAATATTTGGATGAATCCACCTGTCTAGATCTCTACACTGGGGATGTGAAGTGTAAGCTGGAGGAGAAGGTGACTTGGAGGAGACACTTTGTGAGGATGAAGGAGGTGGCAGGAGATAGACAGAGGAGTGCGCTTAATCTAGTCAGGGAGAGGATGAAGAACTTCTTGGACAGTCAGATCAAGTGAGTCAGTAGTGCTGATTCATGTAGAACTCATCCTGTTCTACATGGATGAATTCTTTACTCGCTCATTTGCTTTGTATATCTTTTTTGAGCGGTCGCATGGTTGCATATAATGTTTTCACTGTCTGAGAATCCGAAGCTTACACATCCAGTGGTAGGATGTCCAGTGAAATCCAGTGGTGCATTTTCAATAGTTTTTACAAAATCTAACTGGAAATACTGGTGGCCATTCTGTGAGTATTGGTATTCTGTGAGTAAGACAAATGCAATGAAATAAAGCATAATTAGTGCACAATTAAGACCATAATCAGATCGTCATGCGAATTTTCAGCTGAAGTAAATATATCGTCGACTCTAGGTATGAAAAAAATCGTGTTGCGTAATATTAGTGTTCGCCTCAGAAATTGATGAAAGAAGAGGCTAAGTTTTTGATCTAGTTTAATCAAGAGGCTTAAATCCTTTTTAAATTCGCTTTTTTTAATACCTGGAACTATTTTCGTGTAGTTCAGTTTAAATAACTTGCATTTTTTAGACAAGGGCGCATTGACGATGTAGAAGAGAGTGGGTGGCTGCTGCGTATGCGGGGGGATGTTCTGGCCATTAAAACATCCATGCAGGCTGAAAAGGAAACACAACTCCTAGATCTCGCTAAGGTACATATGTCGAATATGGAGCTGGAACTGCAGAAAGAACATCAAATTTCAATAGATTTTATGTCTTAATAAAAAAATTTCAGTAAAAATCCTCCGAATTTCAATAGATTTCATGGCTATTATATATGGCTTTTATGGTAGTAAACAATCTTCCGGAAATGATGTTATTTTAATCGATTTGGTAATATATATTTATAATTGTAGATGAATTTAAAAAGTAAAGTCAATGTCGAATGTTCTTCGTAAAAATTTAAATTTGCAGCCTTTCAGCGACTCTTTTGCTCACTGATTAGAATATTCTACTGCTTTGCTTGATGTTTTTCTTGCGATTTATATTTATTGTATATCCTTAATCAACGATTAAAGATCATAGCGGGTCTGGAGCAACTAAATTTAAGTGGCTGTTGTATGAAATACTGCCGGATCAACTACTTCACCATCGCCCCCGTCCTGTAAAAAAAATATTTGATTCGTTTCAGGTGAAGCAAGACCAACAGCATGCGGATAGAGTGTTGAAACTGGCTACTTTGAAGGAAGCGGTGGAAAAGTACGACAGGGAGGCCGGGGAGTTGTTTGTCAAAGGCGAAATAGGTTTGTTGACACTCCATCCCTGCGTATAGAATTGACATCCTGGCTATCTCTAGGTTTTTTGTAGGTTTGTTTTTGAACTGTGAACGTTTGAACGTCTGTGAACGTTTTTCTGGTACCCAATGCGCTGACGGGATGTTTTTTATTCCAATACCTGCATCTCTGAATGCACGTTCTGTCTAAACATAAATTTAGTACTTCGTTATTCTTTTTTTATCATTCAACTTCTTTTAATATTATCACACTTTTTAATGTTCATTTAACGTTTTGTATGAAGGTGAATGTTCAATTAGTATATATTTTTCAGACACCTCCAAACTCTTCCGAGAACGCTTCGACATCATGCGCAAAGAGGCCATCCAGAACTTGGAAGACGAAATGACGTTTGACAGAGAGTGTAGTTTGGAGGTGGGCCAGACCATGTCCAGTCTGTTTGACAAAGTATACTCTGCCCTGGAGCAGACGAGCAGAGGATATGCTAAAAATTTGGAGGCGAAAGGTATGTCGAATCTTTACGTTTTGAATCAGTTTCAAAAGAAAAAATGCTTAAGTTTATTGCTCTTTCATGTATTAGATCGTAGATCGTATATAATATAGTGCTGTTTTGCTATAAGCATTATGTAATCATAACACAGGCTTAATATATGTGTCCAGGGGCGTATCTAGGATTTTCTCGAGGGGGGGCGGATTTTCAAAAATTTTCGAAAAACTTTTTTTTTTAGTTCGACCGAATTGATTTTCCGAGCTCTCCCAAAGCAGTAAAAGAACCTATTTTGGTCAAATTTTCTGCGCCGCAGGCAAATTTTGAAAAACAGGCCAAAAAAGGTGTTTTTTGGAACTTTTTAGAAAATTTAGACCAAAAAAATTGCGTTTTTTTAGCGAGTGCTCCCCATTAAAGTAAGTATATATTGGCGCCTTTAGAAAATCTTCAGGGTCCGTCACCAAATATGGACATCTCAAAATAGTACAAAGGGGGACCCTTTAGGTCGGCAGGGGGTCGAATCCCTGAGGGGAGGGGGGCGGACGCCCCTGTATGTGTCAATGCGTTTTAGTACTTGTCTTGAACCTTTTAACATGATAACGATAGTTCTTTGTGTGCGTTTATGGACACTTTCCCAACTGTGTGTTGTTTTTTTTTCGACTTATGAGATTATGAAAGTTAAGATTTTTTCAACTAAGCCAGTGTTTTTTTAATGTTAACTTGCGATTTTTTTTTTAATGCTTACTCTCTTCCAATCTTCGATTGGCTATATTTTCTTTTTAAATTAACAAGTTGAAATTTAATAAAACAAGTAATTTTTGTTTGTTTACTTGCGTGTTTTATGTTGGCTATGCGTCTGTACATAAAAAGTTAAGATTGGATTGATCAAATTGTGACTGGTTGTCCTCTATGTTCTGTTTTGTAGGCTGTAGTGAGGAAGAGGCGGCTGAGATGGTGGACCAGTTTGAGAGGGACAAGGAGAACATGAAATTGACCCTGAAGGAGGAGACAAACCAACTACAGAAGACATACCAGGTACATTTCAGAAGAGTTATTAGATCTGAATTGAAATAAATACTCTGCACTACTTAATTGTTGGAATCAATTCCAAATCCCCCGCAAGAAAAGTTTCTTCATATACCTCGCACTCTAGAATATGGTGAGGATGCACCGAAACGTTCATGCTAATAATTTTACCCATAGTTTAAGAAAATATGCCGTTTTTAATTGTTTTGAGTCAATAAACTCTGTTCAACTCCAAGAAAAACAGTTTGCATTACTAGTCAAAAAATAGAACTAATTTAAAAAGACAATTTTTTGGCGATAGCCTCTGAATAGCCGATCACCTAGTAATTGGCCGCAGAACGTACTATGCGTTTTATACGCCCAAAGTCATTTTTCTTCCCACGTGAACTTTCTTTCTCAACTGCAACTGCGATGAAGTAAATGCCTGCAAGGATTGTTGTCTTTAGATAGCTTCCATGAACTTCAGATATCTGGGTTTGACATCTGCAACATTGACTCAAATCCGCGGTGGAATCCTCAAAAAGCTTCTCAGTATAATGGCTCTGGGTCACATTTTTTCCCACTGCTCTACATGCAATAGCGGTGCAAGTGCAAGCGCAGCCAAGAGGCATATGGTCAAAATGAGGTCTTTGTCCTCACGATTTTGAACAGAGTTTTCGAATTCAAGGATTTTTGTGTGGATAGCTTGTGAAAATGAAAGAAACATCCCTGTATTTCGTTTCTGAAAAATTGTCCCCCCGTAGTTCATCGAGGACATTTCAGAGTCGATCATCACAGAAACTGGTGCTTTAACGTCGGATTTTTGATTTGTTATGTATCCTGTCTCTTGGCTGGAAGAAGTGTTTATATGCAGGGGGAAAGTTGCTCCGTCAACCTAACAATGCAGTATAGAATTGGTAGAAGTTTTCAGGGCAGCTTTTATAGGTTCCATTGATAAACCAATTTCCATAACCGTGAGGACATTAGCCTTTATGTTCCTGGCAAAAAGCAAGTCTCGTTTTCCTATTTCTGCAACCACTGAATCTGCCGGAAGAAATTCTTCTTCCTTTGGTATCTGCTTATATCTGTCTGAAAGCGCGAATTCCAGACCAGTTGGTATTAGTGTGTTGTCGGTTTTCTTGGCGAATTCTTCTGCTTCACTTTTTGATGTTGGGGACTACAGACATCTTCGAGGAACGTTTAGGCATCGGGTGTACTAAAGCTGCAAATAGTACTTTCTGCGTGGAGCCGTGTCTGCATGTCGCGGAATCCTTCTTGATTTTCGCATTGATTGTATTTGTTTCAATCGCTGCGTAACGGGGTCCGCGCGTATATTCATGATGAGCCAATTTCTGTAACTCTCCCTTTGTCACTGGCCTTGAATAGTAAGCATAATCGTTGTATAAGGCTTTTTCGACCTATTTGTTACTTAAAACAGAGTAAATTTGATTTATTTGCATTTTAGTTGGAGTGTTAATTGTTGGCGAGGAAAATTAAAATTGCAAGTTTTAATTGTTGGTTTCTCATTTGCACGTGTTCTACGAAATAAAACAAGTTTTTCGTCCGGAGGCAACTATTTAATTGCTGAAAATGGATTTTTTAAGTGTATGCAAACTGGTATCACGCTTACAATAGTCACATTGTTTCCGGTGTAAATTTTAATACATTAACCAAAATTTAATTTAAAAAATTCAAATTTCAATGTTTTTGTACCAAATCAATATTCCGCTATCCTAGAGATCTTAAGTTTTGACAGGTTAAGGGAGTATGGTTTTCTAGAAATCAGGTCCTATCACACTATCATGCACCCCACCTCAGTGGAAGCGCAGGATCTTTAGGGGTTTACTCCTAGACCATAGGGACGCTAACTCAGATTTTTGTCAAACCAAAAGAATGCAAACTACAAGCACGTTAGAGTTCACAAAGGAGCATTAAAAAATTGAACCGAAACTTCACAGATTTTCAAGTTGCGGTAAGTATATCCAAGAATTTTTTTTTGTCGTTTTAGAAACAACTGGCGAAGAAGATAAAGAAGTGGAGGGATCAAAGAGTGGAAGAGAGAAGTGAACAGGCGAAGCTGAGACAGCACGAGGAACGAATCATAGAGTGAGCAGCCACTAGTCTGTCTAATCGTTATCCGCAGTTAGATAAGAGATCTTTTCATGGAAGTGTAAAACAGTAGATTATGACTGGTTGCTCTATTTAAGATGAAAGAAATTATCTTGCTCATTTAATTGAATGAAATCTGTCGCAGAAGTTTTGCCTCATTTTGTTTGTTTTTTAAATCGAACTACACATTTTGAATGAGATCTAAAAATGGTATCTGCTTCGTTGTTTTTCATGATGTTGTATTCCGTTTAGAGCTCTGATGGTCGACAAGTCCCCCCTTCACTATTCTAACATCACCCACCAACTGGAATTAATATCCAAACAGGATGCCCTCTTGACCTCAATTGAGAGCAGTGTTTCCATGCAGAAGCTGAAGAGTCAGAGACAGTTGGAGCAGCTGTTGTATAGCAGAATGGATAGACGGGTGGAGAAATTGTTGAAGCAGCAAACTCAAGATTATGAGGTAGAATTGATACTTAATGTCAAATTGTTGGCTATATCTTTCCGGTCAAAGAATCTGAACGTAAGTTATAACCTTAAACCGCTCATTTCAACACGTCTGAAACCAATGTTTTACTCATGGCATTACATGAAAATCATGTCAAAAATCTATGTAACATAAAAAAGCTCAGTTTTGTGATCGATAAAGACGCTCAAGGTCACCAGTATTGCATAAAAGATTAGATACCCAGAATTATTGTGTCATAAAGCAGCCTGCGATTTTTAACAATTTAAACATGCACGTTAGAATTTTCAGGCGACACTGATACACAAATGGTGTATGCAAAAGTTTTTTGAAATAGACCATTTGCTCTTTTTATTTAAATGTCTGTCTTTTTGGGAGTTTTTTTTTCTAAATCATTGGTACTAAGTTTTTCTATTTTTTTTTCTACCACAGAAAAACCAATTTTTAGAAGCAGTTTGTTTTACTTAAGTTATAATTTTGAAGAAGACCTAAGTTTCTTATTATCAGTACAAATACAATATTACAAAGGACGGTTTAAGGATGAACGTTTCAAAAAGTATTGCTACACATGTGCAGCGTATTGCGATGCTGCAAGACCAATTTTTTCCAACCTAAGTTGCAAATATTGGTGCCATAGTTTTACTAAAAGTGACGGAAAGACCGATATTAAGACCGTCTTTTCTCGTGGGCGCAGCATATTCGGCTGGTCTCTTTTTAGCGTACCCAAAGAGGGACATTTTTAATCTATTTTGGATTTAATATTTACACTTGCGATCACCTTAGTGTGTTATTACGAACCTTCTTTTTTTTTCTAATCCAACTCGCAAATAAAAGTGTTCACTTATTTGGAAATTTCACTGAAGCATTGGAAATTGCATAGCACCTGTTCTCTGCTTTATTTGTGACCGAGTGGTTAATGGTTCCTATTAAGCTTCCGTACCTTAGTGGTTAGTGTGTGAGACTCCTAATCGCTAGGTCGCAGATTCGAATCTCAGAGGTAGACGAATTTTTGCTGATTCGAGGATTATTTCTTTTTATTATTGCACTTTTCAGAGCTGCTTTTTGTCGTGTTCTCGCAAGTGTTTGCGAAGCTTCGCCTCTGTGTTCAAAATTTTCCTATGACATCTGAAATTAAGACTTTCATCAACAGAGCTTGTTCTGGCAATTTCCCCTACATAAACTGCTGGGCCCTTGTTTTTTGTAGAGAAAAAGTTTCGGTGTTACAAAATGCCCCAATTTGGATCGTATGTTGGAAACTTTTTTTCTCGAAAAATTTGACTATTTGTTGAAATTTATTGGTTTTCTCGAAAACTACGGGTGCCATATCTGACTTAATGGGTTCAATCGAAGAACAAGTTCTAGGGAAATCACCTGCATCAGGTAATTCTCCCAGTTTTGTTATGGAATCAGCTATTGCCAAAAGAAATGTTTGACCTTTATTTGGACCAAAAATGTCTGTACTAATTTTGAAATTAATAAATCAATAGAACTGAGATGTTTCAATGATCTCCCCTGAAAAGCATTTTCTCTGTTATTTTGGTTTTATGTGAATCGATATGTCAGAAAACCGAAAGCGAGCAGATAAGATCAGTTTACCTCAAATAAATTATAAAATGACATTAAAACACAAATTTTTACCACAAAGTTTTTACCTCAAACCAAAAATTGATACAAAAAATGAAAAGAAAGAACTCTTGTCATGAAACCCACAGCTTAGAAATTAGTGTTCTAGCCCCGGAAAATTTTGATTCGATAATTGTTTAATTGTTACGTACTTTGATTTGGTAATTTACTGACAATTTTAGTTAATGAACGCACGCCGAGCATTTTATTAAAACTTATCAAACAGATACCTCCGGATTTAGCTGGGCCCTTTCTTTTTTTTCAAATTCCGTGACGCAGATGCAGCACATGAGACTACTAATCTACATGTTCAATGTTCAATTCCGCCTCATTGAATTAGTTTGATTTCAGTTTGGTGGCACTTGTGATGAATAGATTTGGCAATGTAATAGTAGCTATAGTTGCTTCATTGATACCTACCTAGTGTGGGAAAATTCTAAGGCGATCGTGGCGCAGATGCCAGATTTTGCGAGTCGTCTAATCGATAGGTCCGATTCTGGCAGATTGTGAAAGAAGCAAAGAAATTTTTAATTTTTTATAGCCGTTGCCGTTTTCTCGCTCGTGTAGCTTCGCGTCTGTGTTAATGAATAGTAAATCCTTTCTTCTTCAAAATGTCTCGTTCTGAATAACTCTGAACTCATTTCCAGGCGCGGGAGACTCGAAAGAGCTACGAGATAGAAGATACTTCAGATATCGACTTTGTCAAAGCTATCATCTCAGAGAGAGTGTCGAAGGGAATAGTGTCTGTGCCTAGGAAGAAAATGAGAGATATGTTGTTCACGTAAGTATCATTCAGTGCAGCAATTTTTTTAGGAGTCGATCAACGTAGTTCAGACTCGTACATAGGTCGCGATCTTTTTGTTTTCGTTTTTTTTTTTTCAGGAAAAGTCTTAAATTTTGTTCCCGCTCAAATGTACTTTTTCGCTGCTTGTCTTGTGATTTATTTTCAAGTTCAGTGCATTTCGGTTGTTAAAAGGAAGGCAAACTCCACTATTGAACAGCGAAAGTGTAAACTTCACGAATAACGTGATCGACTTCTATTTTCGAAAATGGAATTTGTTCGAAAATGCAAAAGCGAAATCAAAGTTTTATCTATTGATCCAGTTTTTTTCAAATTGGGTTAGTTTTTTCAAACAAGTGCCAATCGTAACATTGTTCTAGAAATTTAAAGAGCGTTAAGGACTCTGAAGAACTTTAACATCTAAAATCCATTGCAATTTTTTCTGATGAGTTGATGAGTTAGTAATCAATAGCGGTGCAAGCGACGAATATTTATAAGCTTCTTTGAGTGAAGCGTACCTTTATGATAATGGCTGGTGTTACGTATTACAGAGATCATTCACTAGATTGAATCCTCCGTTCGATCCAGCATTTTCTCTTGGTGTTGTCGCGTTGCTGCCAGTCTGCATAATTATAGGTTAGATAGGTCTCACTTGTTTGCAGGATCGAGGAAGATTTAGTCTCAGAGAAACTGGGTAAAGTGAAAATGCACGAGGAGAAATTGGGCACATGTCTGGCAGCATGGCACTTCCAGAAGTCCAGAGAGGTGGGACAAGTTTGTTATCATTTTTAGTTTTTCTCATTACAGCGGCCTCTTCATACAAGTTATTTCAATCAGGGTGGAGGAACACTAAATTGTATTTTTTTTTTGGTTTTAATTCGTACTAATTTTTTGAGTTATTTGGAGATCTCGGAATTATTTTTCAAACAAGGTTAATTGCAAAATCATGCAAGCTAGCGATCGAAGTGTAAGAGTGCGAATTAACTTTTTTCCAAACAAATTCGATAATAAATGCGTTCGTTAAAAGTGTTCATTTTTGTGTATAGCATGTGTTTGTTATCATGTTCGATATCCACTTTGAATGTATAAGTATATATAAGTATATAATTATTCATGTGCACACGGGGCTTGTAGGAGGAAATGAAACTCGTAATGTCTAGCTAGGAAGATCGTTTTCCTTTCATTTGAAGTTTTTGTTTTTCTAAACTTATTTTTGCGTTTTATTTCCCGATTTTTTTGCCGTTTTCTTGCTTGTGTTTGCGAAGGGCAACCTCGCTTCTGTTCGGAAATTTGTTCGCGTATTTCAATGCGTTTTCATTTGATGTCGAGAATGAGAGTCGATAATGTGCAATATTGAGTTGGTTTGCATTGTTTAGTCGGTATCCAGAGACGATTTCTACGACCGACTTGTGACCCTCAAAACCTGCCTTCTACTGGAATTGGGACACCAACAGTCCAATCGAGACGGCGGAGGAGGCGATTGGGTCAAACAGGGGTCACCGGGGAAGGTACTCAATCAGGGAGGAGAATCTTCACTGGGGGCGAAGTTGATGAAAGCATTTGCAGAGGTAGTTAATTAGTTTTTAAAAGGTTAAAATTCAACGTTTGGAGCAAGTTTTGCTCCAAGTTTACAGCATGAACATGGTGAATTGTCTGGGATGAACTTCTGTTGATTCAGTCTGCAATTTCAGTCAGTGGATTATCGATGGTTTTATAAGTTACTATAGTTATTGTAGTTATTTGATATCTGAAGGAGAATTTAAAACAAAATGCTTGCTTTATGTTTCGTTTTGTATATCCAAAAAAAAAGAAGCTGATTTAGGGTGAAATTTATTTTTGTTCGTTTTTATATAATGATTGCAAGATCTTATCTTTTAGATTAAGAAGAAATACGAGGAAGAAATTGAAGCGGAGAAGAAGAAACAGAGCTTCATTCTCCAGCAGAAGATCGCAAAACGGGAAGGGATGAGCGGAGGTTAGCATTGATTTCCGAAGCAAAGAACAAAACTTTGAAATTTCCAATGAAGTTGGGTTTAAAGATTTGAATTTAACGTCAGTTAATGTTGCTGATAAATAGCGTAGTTTGGCTGTTCCAGATGTCTTGCTTGCTATTCATGTCTTTCTGTTAACACTGTTCACTTTAATGATTTTTTTTTGGGATTCGTTCCAAATTGTTTGGTCTAAATTTCAAATAGATGCCCATATCTTTTTTTTCAAATAATTAAAAATAATGAATGCAATGAAGATTCTTATATAGATAGGTCTGGGAGTTTTTTTTGTTTGTTTTTTTTTTTTCAGTAAAGTCTTAAAATTTGTTCGTTCAAATTTGATTTTTCTCGGTTTAAAGTTTGATTTCTTTTTAAATTCAATTCATTTCCATTGTTAAAAGGAAGGCACTATCGAACAGCAAGAGTGTAAAGATCATGAAAAAAAATCGACTTCTAGTTTCGAAAGTGCATTTTAATTATCAGATTTCCCAGCGAAATTAAAGTTTACCTATTGGTTCAGTTTTCTCAAATTGGGTTAATTTCATGAAAAAATTGTCAATCATAAATTGTTTTAGAAATTCAAATCGACTTTTTTTCTTCGAAAATTGAGTTTTTTTTGTTTCCTTGTATTCATTGCCCTTTTGCAACCGTCAGTTGGCTATGTTTTTATGTAAAAGTCAAATCAACCAAAACAGTTAGCCTATATTTTGCCATGAATGTACATTAAAGGGCTTCCAAAGCTGATTTTTAAAAATGAGATGAAAATTTGTTGCGCGATCTAATTATTCTGTATTGAATTTCAGCTTCGGATACAGATGAGGAAATCAACACTTTAACGGAGTAAGTTGTCTTTAGTGCAATTTTGTTTCTAAACACCTCAACTGTGAAAATTATAATGGTGATTTTTTTAACAGCTTGATGACAAATTTTTGTTGTTTTAGAGATTTCAACAAAGAAAACTTAATAGAATCAGCAAGAGTTCTCATGCAAGATAAAATGGCAGAGTCAAGACGCCAGCGAGTAAGTTTGCAGTTGAACTTCTAGTTAAGTTTTGAATTGTTTTTTTATTATTTAAAACCCGGTATACGAATATAAGGAAAATTTTGATGTGAAGTGCTAAAGAAGCTGATTTTTGTTTTAATCAGAGCATTAATATTTTGAAAACCAGGTTCATTTGAAGAAAGCTTTTATATTTGAAAATAATGGTATTTTTGTTACGACCATTGAAAATGAGAGGAACTTTGTATTCGGGCGTCTTTTAGGTTTTGTTTGTTTTCTACGCAAAATCAGCTACCATAAATAATCATTGGACTGGCTTGAGTGATATCATCTTAAAGCCTTCCCAGTGGTGATTCCAGTGTCGAGAAAAACTGGTTTGAAATTTTTGGTTTTTCGTCTAATTTCCTAATTTTGAGCTATTAAAGCGAGCGAGCACGTTTTTTATAGACGGATAGTCTCAGATAAGTAGTAAATACGCCATGAATAGGCCTGAATAATCAAGTAAAATAAGTTTTCGAAATTTTTTTGGCGCCATCTTGGTATTTAAAAACAATCAATTTTTTTTTATTAATCATTTTTCGAAGAAAAATGTTTTCCATGTACCCATTGTAGAATGATAATCGGAAATTTCTAAAATCTAGTCTTTCGTTCAGATCCTTCCATCACTTCAGCACATAAAATGACTCAAGTTTAAAAAAAAATTTTGTGGTTTTGTAAGAATATGGTCGGAACATTCTCTGCTACTTGCCGAGCAACCGGCTATTCTTTTTGGGTTTTTCGGGTTTTTGTTTTTTTTTTCTTTTTTTTTCCACTCAAAAATCAGGTATCACAAATAATCATCGGTCTGGGTTAAGTGATATTTCATATTCAAGCCTTTTCAGTCGTGATTTCATCCACATTAAAAAAAATTTAAAACCGGTCTGAAATTTTGATCTTTCGTCTAGTTTCGAGCGACGACAGCCAACGAGAACGCTTATTTATCCTTATATTGGGCCGTTTACAATAGCTGATTTTTGCTTTATTTCATTTTTACTTGTTGTTGTTGGAGATTTCGAATGGCATTTTGGGAAACAAAAAATTGTTGTTTTTTTTTTGTTTTTCTAGTCATTTTTCTTCAAATTCTGTTGTTCTCTTTTCCTACATTACTAGGACTGTCGAATATGCCTAAATTATAGTTACACATCAGATCCTTTTATCTCACCACGCAGAAAAATACTACACTAATTGAAAAAAATACTGTTTCTCGTAGTTTTTTAAAGACTATGGTCGGAACATTCTGTGATGCTCACGCAGTAACGGGCTATCCTTGTTAAAATTTGTATTGATAATCAGTGTGTTAAAAAAGTTTTTTATGTTTCGAAAATCAGTGCATAATGTCTAATTTTGTTTATTATAATGCTGATATTTGTTCTAAGGAGGAAGAAATTTTGTCACTCCTGACCAAAGCTGCCAGTCTCAATGCAAGTGAACTGCTGCTGCTGCTCATGATGACATTTCCTCTAAAACCGGCAGAAGAAATGCAGAAATTGGCTGTAGATTTGACAATGAACAAGGAAAAAGATACAATTGAAGCTGTTGATGCTGAAAAAACCCTTCCTAAGAGAAGGTTAGCTTGTTTTTGTTTTGTTTAAGATGAAGTTAAGAAGAGAAGAAGAGATTGTTCACTTGGTATTTTGGGTGTTAAATTTTTGACATGATCCTAAATGTTATAAATTACGATTTTGGTATTTCTGCAGTCAATTTTTTTATATTTTAAAGTATAATAGAATTCATGAATCCATCACTCATTTATTGAAATTTAATTTATTTAGTGCGAGCTTCGAAAGGGATAGGAGCAAAGTGATCTATCGCTTATTTAGGTTACTGTTTTTTTTTCACCAAAATGTCTTTAAAGTTCTTCGCGCTCAATTTTTTTGCAGATTGACTTCTGTTTTAAAAATTCCCAGCGGAAGAAAAAATTTTCTTATTGATCCAGTTTTCTCAATTTCGGTTGTTTTTTTTCGAAATTCGGAGAGCTTTATTCGCCTCCTTGAGTTTATTGGCTTTTTCCAACTGATGTTTGTTGATGTTCAAAATCTTTTTAGTTCTCAACTTGGTCAATTGGAACTGACCTTGAAGCTAGAATTAGCAAGCATGCCAGACAAAAACACTAAAGACGAAGCGGAGTCTCCATTTTCGAGAACAAAAGCTGAGTCGATTTGATCGGAAGAATAGTCCGATGGGAAAATTGAAATAGAAGAACTTCGAGTGAAAATTATTGTGAAAGGCAAAGTTGGCAACATCACTAATTCTATCTTGAATCAATTTTTCCATCTTCTGTGCACAGTGTAAATACGGCTGATTTTTTTTTCTGTAAGTAATGTTAATTATGATGTAAATAGTCTGCAAAGCATTGTAAATAATATGAATATAAAGTTCTTATAAAATCTTTGATTGTTTTTTTAATTCTCTGCAAATCCGACATCAAATATTAGCTCTGTAAGGCTTTTCGAATCGCGAATTGACTATGATTAAATTTCTCATGATGCTAAATAGCGTTATTATTCTTCAATTTGAATTTTTTTTTGAAGTTGATAATTGAACTGAACTTTTAAGTGGCAATGAACAAAAAAAACATCATATTTTAGTCAAGATTTCATTTTTAGGTAAAAGTCTTAAATTTGGCGCTTGCTACTCTTATTTTTAAGGTTGGGACTGACGTTTTGAGTATTAAGCTGATTGATTATTAAAATGTTAAACTAAACTAAGATAAGAAGAATAAGATTGAAAACTGTAACAAAGTTGTTCGATGCAATAAGAACAATGAACAGTGTCAGATCCACCCCGATGGTGTTTACACATTTAAGGTCAGACGGTGCCAGAGAGTTATCTGAACTGAATTAAATGAGCAATCACAACATTGAAAAAAGTTATTTAGTGATCCAGTTGTCTCGTCAATCACACAGAATTCCCAAAACTTAAAGCTTTGGTGGTGTTGGGAGTGTTCTTTTTTCAATCTTAAATGGTTAACCCAATTTAATTCAATTTTTAAACTTGCGACGGTAGTGCATAAGGATGACTATAATTTTTTCCAACGTAACTCGCAAACGCAAGTGCATCATATAACGGATTAGGGGCATCTTAAGACCAATCCCACGGGAACGACTTGAAGACGGTTTCTTTTGCTTCAAGATTCTGAAATCCACATTAATCTAAATATGCCATCAATGAATTGGAACAGTTAGGGGTTTTTTGGGCGGTAGTACATAAGAATTACTTTTTTGGAGCAGATTTCGAAGTTAGCATAGATCATAAAGCACTACTTTCCGCCCTTTCAACACACCACGGGAATAAAACCTACCGCATTAGATTAACTAGATGGGTCGATCGTTTGTTCCCGTTTAATTTTAGAATAAGGCACTTGGCAGGAAAAGACATGGAGTTCACTGACCTAATTTCACAAAATCCATCTTGAAAAGCTTTGACCCCATCACATTATGATGACGAGTTTGTAGTAGCAAACACAAATAAAATTAAAGTAGTAATCTATCCTTCGGATAATCAAAAAAGTTCTACAATTTGATTGGTTCAAACTTGGAAAATTCCGATACGCCAAGAGCACGTAGTTATTTATAAGCCTCAGTTCTAAAACTTGTTAACTCGACTCTTCTTCCATTTTGCAACTTGAAACATGATCGAACTGGGTTTTGCCTCCTCAAAATATATTCTTCCGAATTATTCTAATGTTCAAAAAAAATTCAAACTGCGTTTCAATATTTTTTTTCTTAATCTTGTCTTAATTAGTTCCCTTTTAGATAGAAAAATTGTAATTACTGATAATAAAGAAAATAAAAAAAATGTGATTAATCCGTCTACTTCATTTTTACGTCGGTCAAGCGGAAATGTGGGCCCGCCAAAGTTCTGTGGTAAAGGTTATATCAGAGATGTCGTACACCAATTTGAAGAAACATCGGGATCGGCCTCTAATCCAATCACTTTAAACCCTACCAGCTCAAACGAGCCAAAACCAACCTTGTTACATTCAGATCCTTCGAATGACTTAGCCATATTGTTTGACACTACTTTATCAGACATACATTCTCCCTCTTCAACAGACCAATCCCTAAGAATGGCCATCGAAGACTACGACGAGAATGTTGATATGGATAGCGAGCTGTTCAATGCTGAATTGGAAAAACGTATTTGTGATAAAAACTGAAAATAAAACTCTTTAATTATTTCTATATTTCCCGTTTTGCTGTTGGTTTTGTTTCTTCTAACCAAGGTGAACTTAGACCCCCCTTTATGATCTTCGATACGTGACATAAACAATACTGCATTCGGGCAGTGGTTTGGTACACCCTAAAACTCTAAATGTTTTGCAGCAAACTTACCTATTTGTACAATCCGTTGGATTACTACCTCAAAATTGCTTTCATGACCATTAAATTTAAATATTTCGTAAATCAGTAAAGTTACCATTCTTGCGTTAAAATAAAATTTCGTTAGCAGTTTAGTAAAATCTATAATCCGCCGGATTATTTTATAAAGTTAGTGTTTACCTGTTTAATTTCTTTCTTCCTTTTTTTATTCAATTTGGTGCAGAAAAAATTTGCGCTTTATAAAAAATTTTTCACTTTCCCACCAAGGAGAGAAAAGGAGCAGTTATTGTTAATAACTGTAATTGATATTTTTTTCCTGCTTTGAGGACCGATATGATTTAGCTGATGTACTTAATTTACTTAGCTTAATCTTAACTGGTTTAATAGTTCATATATAATATGACCTTGAATTTTCCATTCTCTACTGCGTAGAGAAAGCTCTTTCACTTTTTAATGTTTTAACTTTCAGGTCAATTCAATTCTTATTCTTCTATTCTTATAATTGTATATAAGTAATATTAGCTGTAACAACGTAATATTTAATCACAGACAAGAACAAGTGCTTCATCGCCAAAAAAGATTCGTCGTATTTCTTGTAATTTTGTTGAATATGAAAAGTTTGAAGGTGAGGATCATCAGAAAGTTATTTTTAGGAATTTTTGAAACTAGACAACAGTGAAAGCCAGACTGCTCGTATATCAGGAGGAAGCCCTGAGCAATGCAACTGCATTTTAAAATCGATTCAAAGAAGCCATTTAGACTTCAGAAGCTGTTTCGTCAATTATGTACGCCCAAGTTTAATATTTAAACCTGCCAATAGAGATTCATTATGAGGCCAAACTGCGCACTGGATAGGCGCAAAATTTTGTCTCTGAATGTTGCTGGTTTCCAGAGACAAGTCTTTAAACAAGTTCCAAAATGTAAGTGGATTCCAGCTACAAAACTTCATTTGATTCCGCGTGCAAATACCTGTAACGAAATTTTTGTCGGCACGTTTCTTTTGTTGCGGATTCCGCAACGAGCGAATATAGGTAATTGTTCCGGATTCCGCAAATGTACGCGGATTCCACAAGTTAAGTGAATTCTGCAAATTTATCCGGATTCAGCTTACAATATGCGGATTTCACTTACAGTTTGCGGATACCACTTATAGTTGCGGATTCCGCGACACTCTAAGTTTACCAAAGTTATATGTTGTAATTTGTTCATGGATTACACAAACTGGTTCCGGATTCCACACATTTTGTTGCGGATTCAGCAAAGTTGTCTGTTTTTGGTGCGATTTTGAGCAACACGGTGTTTAACCTGTGTCCGTGGAATCCAAAACAGCAGAGAAGATTAAAAAAATAGCAATGATGCGGATTCTCCGACAAATCTGATTATTGCCTGTTGCGGAATCCTCTTACCATTCCAAAAATGCACAGTTTGGCTTCGTAATGTTTAGGCGATCTTTTTTGATGTTTATAAAAAATATCCTAAAAAAGTAGGCTTCAGTTGTTTGCCAAATAACTATCATTATCAAATAACTATCAATCACTAACTTCAGCTGAAGTTTTTTTTCTCAACTTTATCTGCCCCATAGACCTAAGCATGTAGCGAATGAGCAGAGTGTTTTAGATTATAAGTTTGTTTGTGACTATAAATTATAAGTTGGGATCAATTCTTTGACGTTTAGGGTTCGCTATCTCAAAAATTTGTTGCGAAAACTGCTCATAAATGGTTCAGCATTGTTGCGGAAACCACTGCAGTTTGAACGTGTAGTTACGTCACTTCGATCTCTACAATTTGTTAAGGCGAATCCCAATGGGCTGCAAAGCAAACAAAATACTTATGATTGTCATGATTCATTTTTTTGTTTAGTTATTTATTATTAACGTTGTTGTCTTTTATTCTTAATTATGATTCTAATTATTTTTTATAAAGTACAGAGTTGTTTTAGCACGGTTTTGATTTTTTATTTTTGTTTAACTGTGATTTTTTTTAGTTTTAAATGCCTTGCTCAAACTTTTGTGGCATTTCAGAGTGTATTTCCACTGGATTTGGATCGTGTCATCATATTAAGTGTTTTGAAGTTAATTATGGGAAATTGGCAAAAAAAAGTCGGGGTTGAGTTTTTTTACACAGAGTCAAAGCTGAGCTTTGCAAAACTTGAACTACAAATTTTAATGTTATGAAAATCAAACAGAAAAATTCAAAAAATCTTTTTTGCCAATTCAAAAATTTTTTTTTTCAGAAAATACAAAAGCTCAAAATATCCGCAACAAAATTTTCTGCACCATTAAAACCTCTACAAAGAGCTTACAGAAGCCAATGCTATACAGAAGCCAAGTTTTCAAAAAAAAAGATCTTTTTTGTTTGTCTGCTTATTTCTATCTGCAAAAAGATCTTTTTTTGAAAACAGACAATAATCTAAATTAGCCAAAACTTTGTATTTGCAAGAAAAACAAGTCTCAACTGGAATCGAACTCCCGCAAATCTCTGCAATCTCAAGCAGTTAGTATATCTATACGCCGAATGCGCCGGATGGTTGATTGGATTTGATTTTCTAATCACTAAGCGGTAACAAAGTCGAAAAAACCTGAGCAGAAAATCTGTATGCCGAAAAGAAACTCAGAAAAATTCTAAACATGAAAGAGTCAAGTCCCTTTTCCCGCCAGAGCACACACACGCTCACAAAAAAAATTCGGACGTAGCGACGCAATGAAAGGCCACTAAGTTTATATTAATTAGGCCAAACTTTTTGAGGCCAATGAAAATGACAAAAAAGATGAAAAAATTTTCTCAACATAACGAGCTGGTTAAATTACAACCAATTTGAAAAGCAAATATCGATTCGGCCAGATTGAAAAGCTAAAAAAACTGCAGTTAAAAATACTTAAAGTTTAAATAAATGACTTTTAGATAGGGCAACTAAGCCGACAAAACATAAGCAGACAAATAGTAGGCCTAAATTTTTCTGAAACGAAACGATTACCATTTGGAAAAAAACTGACCCTGTGGACAAAGTTGTTGACAAAAAAAAATCTAGTACCCAATTGCAATACCCTTGCTATCGCAAGCTTAATTATAATTAAATTTAATATG